AAATTTTTATTGGGTACATTTTATAGGTCTCCCAATAGTTCTTCTCAGGTAAATTATTCTATTTCAAATTCTATTAGTTTGGCTTTATCAAATGTTTTATCGAAATGTTTTATCATGGGAGATTTTAATATAGATTTTCGCCAGGTAACAGATTCTTTTATCCATGAAGTCGTCAACATTTTCAGCTTAAAACAATTAATTAACTCACCAACTAGATATAACGAACGCGTTAGAAATTCATTACTCGATCTAATTTCAACAAATTGCCCAAATTTTGTTAAAACAACCGGTTGTTTAGATAAATTTTGTAGCGATCACTGCCTTGTGTACTGTCAACTTTCATTTCACTCCCAGCCTAAACACAGCTAGCTATAAACGACTAATTTGGGACTATGCAAAAATGGATATAGACGGATTGAGACATGATGTAACAAATACCGACTGGACCGTACTAATTGCAAGCGACACCGTTGATGAAACTTGCTTCAGATTTACAAACAAGTTGATTAATATTGCAATTAATATTATCCCTATTAAAAATGTGACTATTACACCTCGAGATAAACCCTGGATGAATAATGAAATTAGAAAAAATAAGTAAACCGAAGAACAAAATTCACAGAAAAGCAAAAAATTCCCATTTAGCAGAACATTGGAATGCATTTCGGAAAATAAGAAATGATTTTATTCTATAACTACCAGCAAATATCACTGAATACTTGCTCAGGAATACACTAACTTGAACCACTGAATGGTCAATGAGTTCTGTTTTTATTCTATAACTAAACGTAACTATTACGAAAAAAGAGATCAAAACATAAACGGCGATTTAAATTTTGGCTCGAAATCCTGGTGGAAACTTCAAAGCTATTTAACTGATAGAACACAGTGTGTTATCGTAAATGCCTCCTCTGCACCACAGTTGTCACTGCTGGTGTTCCGCAGGGCTCGGTTTTCTGATCTACATTAATGACATTGTCGAAAAATTACACTCAAATATAAAATTATTCGCGGATGATACATCTTTATATATGTTGATTAAAGATCCTACAAAAGGTGCCCAAATTTTAAATTCAGATATATTGAGAGAATACACACATTGGCTAAAACATGGCTAGTTTCCTTTAATCCTGGTAAAACTGAAACATTAACAATATCAACCACATCTAAGCGCGATTCGATGCCTATTTTCATGAACACGGTTAAAATAAATGGAGTATCTCATCACAAGCATTTGGGGCTTATTTTTCAAAATAATCTTAAATGGAACGTACACATAGGAAATCTTTGTAATAAAGTTTCAAAATTTATCAACTGCTTAAGATCACTTAAGTACCGACTAGACAGGAAATCACCCAAAACAATATATACTTCCTATATTTTACCACACTTTGACAATGCTGACATTATGTGGTATAGGTGCACGGAATATTTAGCTAACCAGTTAGAGCAATTGCAATTAGATGCTTTACGCACACTATGTGGCGCTGTGAAGGGAACTAGCCATGATTTACTATATAAAGAAGTCGGTATATTACCTCTAAAACAACGTCGTGAAAGACACAAGTTGATATTTCTATATAAAATAATAAACCACTTAACCCCTGATTCCCTTTATGACAATTTAAACAAAACAAAGTAAATATTCATCAAGAAACGGTCAAAACCTTCCATACCTATTTTATAATTCTTTCTTTCCTTCAACTCCGCGACTTTTGAATAATCTAGATGTTTCTTATACGTAATTCAGATACGTAATTCACTTTTAAACAAAGACTCTCAAAACATGATCACTTGTACCTTCTTATTACGATATTGGTAAAAGAAAAGTTCAAATCATCCATTTAAGACTTCGTTTATCAAACAGTGACCCATAACCGACTCTCCCAACCTGCCGATGTGGACAATTTTGAAGACCATTATCACTTTCTGCATCAATACAAAATTTCTATTGTGTAGCTCTACGGACATTTCACAATTTTGAAGATCATTATCACTTTCTGCATGAACACAAAATTTCTATTGTATGGCTCTACGGACATTTCACTTGAACAAAATCAATTAATATTTTCTGAGGTACAAAACTTTTTAGAATTAAGTAATAGATTTTAAGTACTGTAATCGTCCATTATCATTACCATCACTAGCGTCTGTTTACATATTTGTTCACTTTCAGGCCTTAAACCAAGATCAAACATTATATATATCAAAAAACCTTTTTATTAATAAAAAATATCATTGTATCCTTTGATAATTTTATTAATTAATAACACAATATGAATAGTTTCGACTATATACATGTATTTAAGTAAACTAATTGTAATTATATTGTTTTGTTGAAAGGAGAGGGGTGATATAGGTCTATAACCTGTTCCCCAGTCCTAATCTTATTGAATAAAATTTTTGAAAAAAGACATTTTAAATATGCCAAAACACTTGAAATAACCTTTAAATCAAAATTAATCTGGGCCAAGTTAAACGCGATAATTTCAAAAAAAACAATTTAATGTCATCACTCTTTGATTGGACGCCCCATGAAATGGATACCCGAGGCTGTTACACCCTCTACTCTGTTCCCCTCTCTGCACGTCACTGGTCATTGGGTAAAACGTAGCTAGTAACAGTTGCCTTTCATCAAATCTCCAAGTTTAGAAGTATCAGAAATAACCACAAAAAGACATTAATTTGGCGATGGGCCCTCCCAGTTCCTTTCAACTGATACCTCCCTCGTTTCCAGGGTTGATCCGGATTCTTGTCTCAGATCACTGGAAATGGCATTTCCGGGCTTCTAGCTTTAGAAATTGTCCGAGGGAATCCGCCCGGACCACTCGTTGTACGTTTCACGCCTTGTGCTCGCTTTGTTATTTCAGTTTGAAAGTAAAAATTAAATTGGACAACACCTTTTAATTTATAAAACTTAGTCAGCGTGATGACATTTATGATACCTACGTACGCAAGGCTTGTTGATGCTCATCACGATATGACAACTAACTTATTAAACATGAACGATGTCTAACAACGCCTAGAATACACCGAAAAAGTGATCCATGGGTTGGTTCTGTAAACGAATTGCACTTCCTTTTTAATAAAAATGATATGTTAATGAAGAAAAGTCAATTATAAATTATAGATTATCGTGAATTATAAACCTATAACGGTAAATCTTAGTAAAAAATGCAGACCTGAAAAATTTATCAAAATATTGTATTTGAAGTTAGTTCTCCTTTGAATTCCCCCCCCCCCCCCCACACACCATTCATTTTGAATCGATTCGTCTAAAATACAGAACAATCAATATACACGTATGTAAAAATTCATGAAAGGAAAATTATCATTCGTTTCGAGTATTAACCCTCTATTTTAAATTTTAGTTTTTAGAAGATAATCTTACCAGTATTGGCAGTAAGATAGAAGATAGTGTCAAGCAAAACAGCCGGTGTATCACTCCCAAAAACACCACGTTTCCATATCTCAAATATCTGTTTGTTTTGGTATTTTCATGCTCGTCTTTCTTGTTAGGCCCAGCTATTACAGTCTGCAACAACAATTCTTTGTCTTCTTCAGAAAACATTTGACATCATAACAAATTCTTTGAATTTAAATCAAGAATTACCTATTAACAAGCGTTATGCAACCATTCGCGATTCAAATAATATTGTGAACAGTGCGTACGCCAGCCAAACTAATGAAAAGGTCGGCCGTGATTTGCACGTGCAAAATTGAACCAATCAACAATTTGATGTATATTTAACATTACTGCAGACGACATGACACAGGGAATATTCTATTTAGATTTAGTGTTATTATTGCCCTTCTAACAAAATGTTTATTACATTTTATTAAAAAATCAAAAATATATATTTATACTGCCAACATATTTACACCCAATATAATATTGGCGTTGAAGTATACCCGAACATACGTAATTTAATTTTCCAGATTATACTCGTATTTTACTTATATTTTCACTTTACATGTAAACATAAACGGTTTATAAGCAAGATAAAGTCCTCGACTTCGGTTATGCTGGGGAAGAAAGACTTCAGAAAAAACCCTCAAAAGAAAAACCTCGGCCTATCGGCCTCGGTTTTTCTTTTTCTCGGGTTGTTTTCTTCAGTCTTTCTTTCCCCAGCATAACCTCAGTCTCGTGCTTTATCCTACACCTAATTTCCCAGGAAGGTTGACCGTCTTCAATCGATAGGCTACTGATATTTTGACTAAAGGCACAAAAAGGGCCAAGAGACTTTTGTTTACAGTTACCCGATCGACCCTATTTTTTGGAAGGAAAATCGACAACCATAAACGTTTTCATCAATTTCCCAGGTTCCCTAAATCGGTCTTGTTTTGGTTTTCAACTGACAAATTCCAACACTAAAATTTCAGCCTGAATTATCATTACCCAACTGAATCTTAATCAGAAGTTAATCTATAGGAAAGTCAGAAAGTTTTCATCATGTTTATACAGATTATCAAGGAATATATTTCTTTTATTGATATTTTCATTAGCGTAGTTATAGATGGTCACGTCATGTTTAGCTTAATTTTAACTAAGTATGAGCGTCTAATTATCCTGTTTTAAAGCCTTCCGTGCTTCTTATTAACATGCAGCACTATATCGCTTTAGATGAAAGTCGTGTTCTATTGCTTGGCTTAAGGTTACTATGGATTAACTCTCTGATCAGGTTACCATGGGATAACCTGTTTCTTCTGATCACCATGGGATGATAACCTATACATTTTGGCTGTGCTTTGGAATTTCATTTTATCATTCCATAGCAGGTCTCTGTCTAATCTTGATGTATGCACCAATTAAACCATATTTCAATCGAAAACTATTTTTATTAGCCCATATAGTTCATGGTTATGTACTATAGATGTATCTTTTTGAGCAAATCGAGACTCCTTTTGTCATAAAAACTCTGTAAAACTTTAAAGTACAATGTGAATACTTGTATTATTATTTTATTATAGCCATTTATCACACAAAAAAGAAAAAAACTATGTTTAAACTGTAATAGCTTTACCATCCTTAAAGGAGGTAAACCTTTAACTCAATATATGCCATAAAATTCGAAATTAAAAACACGAATTTAAATTCAATATTTGTCTATTTCAATCAATATTCGTGTTTTTATCTTGCCGTGAATATATGAGATACTAATATCCAATATTTAAGACATAATGAATATTTTAAAACTAGTACAGGAGTCGTGTATTCTAGGGTTTCGGGAGCCATTTGTAATGAAGAAAGAAAAACATATCCTATAAGACAAGGCAGAAGTAATTAGTTATGGCTGATTCACAAACGACAAAATTATAATAATTGAAAAAAAAAAACAAAATAAAAAAACAACCAAAAACCCGTAGAATGAACTAAGCAAGCGTTTACAACTACCATTCAATTGGACTGTTCACGTATTTCACCGAATATAATTGATTAAAAAATCACAGTAAACTATTTAAAAAATGAATATAAATCACTTTTAGAGCCATTTTCGTATTTTAGGTTCCAAAGAATAAACCCATACGCCCTTTAAACACGCATAATTATATTAAAGGACCTGAAATATGACATTTATATCATGCTCCTCACGTGGCATCTATAATTTATTGGGAACCATGTATGATCGGATGATTCTGTATATCGTTGCTATTTATTCCATATTATACGTGGTTAAAGCTATAAATCTTAACATTAAATAAATCAATGACATCTTATCGCCAGGAGCAATAACCACAATTAAATATATTGATGTCTTTTCACTTCGACTTTGATAAAGTCAACAACGTTCATATTTATTATTGCTCAAAATTGATTTCAAATGTCATTTTATCAATATCTATATTTTTTAGTTTTCTTGATCTTTAAATAAACTTCAATATCACATTTCAATGTACCCATCTTTTCTTTAGAGGCAATGGATTCAAAATGGTGGGTGTTGTGGTGTGTGTGGTGATCCATGTGATGGAGTTAGAGAAAATGAATTTGGTGGACGATATGCTCAAAATATTATCGCTTCTAAATATTTGCAAGGTGCTACTATTCCGGTAACAATCGTCAGGACAAACCAACAATCCTTAGGATATTTTGAGTTTCGAATTTGTGAACCACCTGAAGATCAGGCTGTGACTCAAGAATGTCTCAATAGGAATTTGTTACAGATACAAGAGAGTGATTTTGCAACGCAATTTTACCCTGGATCTGGCGGACAAACTTTTCAACTAAATGTGAAACTACCCCCGGATTTATTCTGTACTCGATGTATTATGCAGTTTAAATACAATACAGGTAGACACATAAAAAAAATCTTATAATTTAACTAATGAGAGTACACTTGATATTGTGGTGTATTTCAATAAATCACTACTGGTGTAGAAATGTTTTCGACATATTGACACTACAGTCCAGCCTTTTATTCCGAGAGAAAAATGGTGAACTGAAGCTAACGATTTGATCACCATAGATAACACAATCGCATATTAAAATATCACCTGGCTTTGTGATAGATAGGAAATTGTTGTAGAGGTTGGCAAGATACAATGGATACGCGCCCAATGAAGCCCTTAAAAAACCCCACAAACTATTTCTCATCCTGTCGTCGATTTGTCAAAAAGTCTTGATCCTTAAGCGAAATACAACCGCCCATGGATAATCGCAAATCATGTTAGCAAGCTGAACATACGCATAATTTGTTGATGAATTAACATGCAATTTGCAAACGTATACCAAGTTGACAATCAGCAATATGTGAATATTTGACTTGCCAGTCAGATTATTTCAACCGTTAGGAACATGGTGTGATGATGTCTATCTATAGTATTAATACTTTAATTTTCTAGGTTACAGATCACCTGAAGCATCAAGTGGTTGTGGTTGTTTAGGTTGTGGTCAACAAGAGCAGTTCTATAATTGTGCTGACGTATCAATAGAAAGAGATGTGTCATATATACCATCCTCGACGAGTCAAGATAGCAACACTCCAATAGCATCAAGCACCCAACCACAAATACTATTCAGTAGCAGTTCTTCTATACCAATAAGTACTTTACCGTTATACAATGTCACCCCAAGTCTGCCTAGTTCATCATCTATATCTATCGAACCATGTGTATGCTCAAATTTAAGTTCGGTTGCAACTGTTACTGTAAGTTCTTGTATAACCGAACCAACAACAACAATACGGGAGTCTATAACATCCAGCAGTGATTTAATTGTCGAATCGACTAGTTTACAAACTGATACTATATATAGTTCTACTCACTTATACCCATCTCCCACATCCGAAGCAACCACACTTTCCACATCCAGCAGAGTATCGGATATACTACCATCTAGTGCTTTAATAGACGAATCAACAATAAAGTTATCGACTAGTTTACAAACCGATACTGTAGATACTCCCACTCGTTCATATACATCAACGATACCTGAAGCAACTACACTTTCAACAATCCATAGAGCAACCGGTTTAGACATGTTTACAGTAACTGGTGGTTCTTCGCAGACAGCCAGCTTCCAAGTTGAAGTAAGCATGACCCCGAAGCCAGTGGATCAGACATTAAATTTGTCATATGAATTTTTGAATAATCTACTGAGCCTTGTTAAAAGGTTGAAAGCTCAATATGTTGTGATATTTGAAAATGGTGTAAAGACGGCGAGTACACACACAACTACTGTTTGTCTAACACCATCTATACCAGTTTCTACCATGATGGTGACTGTTACAGAAACTGTGGCGATCACAGTGTCAGTGACACCAGTTGTTTCAAATCCTGCACCAGTACAATCAATCATTCCAACCCCTGTAACATCTAGAAATTCGCCACCAACAACCCCATCTCCCAAAACAACAACCCCGATCCCAACAACAACACCTCGTCCTATTATACCAAATACCCCATTGACATGTTCTCCCACAACACAGACCTTGAAATGTTATAGTATTTATAGTTCTGTGACTGACACTTGGTGTAATGATAATTGTCGTAGAAAATTCTGCCCACCGTATTTCTGCTACTGTGTCTGTAGAGAGAAACCTCCTGTGACAACAACGCCCGTGCCAAGAATACTGTGCCTATCTATTAGAGCGGGTGTGTCCGATGTCTACTGTTATAATAATTGTCGTTTGGGATACTGCCCAGCTGGTTACTGTGATTGTAGGTTTGCGAAATAATGAAACCGAATAAAAGTTACCAACATACAAATCCGGAGCAAAAATATGTGAGGTGTGTTTTGCTACGCAGTGTGGAATCCACTGAAACTGGATCCACTTCCGCCAAATAATGAATGCCTCGTTAGTTTGCATGTATTATTCTAATTGGTTTGATGGTCTACAGACAGTTTGAAGTGCGACGATATTGAAGTACCGGTAAATAAAATATTGTCTGCTCATGCTACTTTAAATGGGAGGTTCAAGTTTTCAATGTGTCGTTTATAAGTGCGCAAATTAAACGCCACACAGTCTGGAAGATTCAGCTTAATCTGTTACCCGGTTTAGAAACCTTCAGAATTCTATTATTCTTCGGAAAGCGATGCAAATAGAACAACGGGAAAATGCAACTGACCATGCGTGTCAATTATAGACAGATAGTTAAGGGACCTGTCTTCAGCACAGGTTATTTTTTTTAAATCTGAAGCACTGGGGCTTAGGGCGCGCGTGAATTTTTGAATGCAGACATACCTGGAGATTTCGAAATAAGCGTAACTTTCACCAGCGATCGAACATAAGTCAAAATATTTAAAAAGCATCATAACCCACGCTGTGCATAAAACAACGAAAAATGTTTGTCTTTTGTTGTAGTTTGTACTACCAAATCTTTCTAAATTATGATTCAAGCATATCGTCTAGTTGGAGTAAGTAGTTTATATAGTTATCTTTTGATTACTCGAAAGATGAACAGCGTGTCAAACTTCTCAAATATGTGTTGGTTCAACACAGAATCATTATAATCTCATTCTAATTGGTATTCGTTGTTTTGGGATGCGAACGCCCTACACATTTTGTTACCAGTTTGATGTCTACCTTAATATGAATCTTTCCCTTTCTCAACTATTAACAAAAGCGTGTGATTTTCTCTCGAAAAGATCATCGGTATTGACCCACTGCTTCTTTATTTTGCCCCCACTACTTACAAAACTAAGACTATAAATAAAGGTTTCGAAGAGCCTTCCAGACAGAATTAACTAGTTTTACATACTGAAATCTCCTGCAATACAAAACAGTATTAGAGTATTGTAAATAAGTATTGCTTTTCAACGAGTGCAGACTGGAACCAACTAAAGGCCTACTTATCATTAATTTTTTTTATATAAGCAATAAACTGGTCCATACACAGGCAACATTTCGTGGTCAAAAATAGACCTCATTTACGGGTGTTTTTTGAAGTTTTAATTTAAACTACTGTTCTACATGCTCTAAAGCTTGTGGTGTGCAATAAATTATTAAGTATTATATAAATTGTATATAAAATACAAAATTTGACACACTAAATATAGCTATTTTTCTTTCTAGACATATAGATAGTTAACGTCACAATTTTGTCAGGTGAAATCATAAATATAAAAAGTTGATCTTATTAATTTATGTTGAAAAATGTCAAAATTAAGTAAACAAGGACAAAGGGGGTTGTTTTAAACAGTTAAACATTTGATATTTGGAAAGGAACATTGCTTGTAGGCTACATCATCGTGTTGAAAAAAAAAATAAGAAAAAGAATATAAACCATTCATTGACCATAATGTAAATATTCACTCACGGTGTTGGAACCATCGCCTATCGTACCTGTTTTTCGGCGATGGGGTGTCAAACATTAATTTCAGCTACAAACAGAAGAATAAAAACCACTTTGTGTGTTCTTTTTTTGTAATCATTCATTTCGTTGCTTATATGTAAATATTATTATTAACACAGTATAAACAGTAGTTCCATTTTTTCCGAAATCGGCTTTGTTATCCTTTAAAACAATGTTTTTATACATTATTATTATATACTTATATATATGTACATTTTTATCGTAATATATTATTTAAGTGTACCCTTTGGATGTTATTTTTATAATTTTTTTTTTACGCCCATATTTAATCTGGGAGTCTATGATCAGTACCATGCCCGTCTGTCTGTCTTTTCACATTTGTTGTAAACGCTCCTTTATTTTCAAACTTGTTATTCTGTTGAAATAGTAAAATGAAAATAAATAGTTGTGCATAGAGTTATTGCCCTTGTCGCCAAAACCGTTTAGAATACCTTGAGGTCACAATTCTTAGACAGAACCCTGTAACGCATCAATTTTATTGTCCTTCCTACAAGGGTTGGCCCTTGTAAACACTCTACAGGCCATAGCTGTCGAAAAAACATTCAAACTTGCTGGGAGTGTTTTGTTTGTTCTAAGAAAGATCCTTATCGAAATGATAATTTTCATAGGCCGAGTTTTTGGGCTTGTCACCAAAACCTTGTAAACACTTGCTGGGATTGTTCGGCCTATCAACTTTTAGAATCCTGCAACGCTTTTTCCTATTTGATGATGTTGTAAAAGCTCTAAAGGTCAGGGTGTTTTCATTCGTACCGTAGTAATTCGTACCGTAGTAATTGTTCCCGACCCTGACAAATTGAAAGTCACACGTCGTATATCCGTTGCCTGACAACGCTATGTTTTCATATACTTCCGCATTCCTCCACGTAGATAGAAAAGTCGTAATGGTTAGGACGGTTTTATCTCCGTTTCAAATTGCCATTTGAATATATGAACTATATTTGATGGACATTTTTGCACATTACAAAAAGAGCATGGAGAGGTTAATGAACCTGAACGTACGTCATCAATCTGTACACCAGATATAATGGTGCAGTTTGTTCAGTCTGCATCGCTTACGTCACTGTCTTCACTACTTGACCCCGACTCCGAATTATCATCATCTTCCCCTTTCATACAGGCGTAACATTTCTCCTATTAAATTAACACACAAAATATGTATTAATATGTATTAATTAGCGTAATATTCAGTATTGCCATTATATCAAGTACATGCACATAGTTATAACCTCAGCTATGTCCTAATTACAGAATGTTTATCGTCGAGCCATGACATTCACCTAATGAACACACAGGCGAACGGTTTCGATGACAGTTAGGGGGGCAGAATCCGAAAATGCCCGAAAATATTTCGGGTTACAGACGGCGGCGCCGGTCTTCCGCGAGAGCGGAGGAGCGGAGCTTACCGTGTAGGGGCCCCCAAGAATAGTTTGGAAAATTTGACGGCCGCAAACGCAAATTCAAAGTGGTCTAATTAGCATGACTCGAATTCCAATCAATCGTTTACAGTGGACGGAGATGGGACCGTCGGGAGAAAATTTTGAAAATTTAACTGCTGCAAACGCGTTTGCCTGCTATTTCAGTCTGTGAATACAGCATCTTCAATGTGGTCCAAAATATACCTTTGGTGGCTGACCTGAATCCCCAACAACCAATCAGTCTCCTAGGGGTATGGGGGCTTCGCCCACCCGGAGAAAATTTTGAAAATTTAACTACCGAAAATGCGTTTTTCTGCTTCTCTACCCACTTTGTTAAGCAACTATAAAGTTCTGTAATAGTTTTAACCGAAATCCCACTCTATGCCGACCTGAATTCCAACCACCCAATCACAATGTTGCAGCTGCATTTACAAAATTTAATAATAATCGATGTCCGAAAAAAGGAGTGGCTCCAGACAAAATGTTTTAATCCATAGTCAATTCAGTATCAATTCGTGGTATTCAATTAAAAGAAAAGTAAATCAGTGTTCTATTAGATTTCTGGCAGTTTATTTTGCCAACTAGATGAAATAAATTTTTTTTACACTTTACCCGTCGACCCGAAAAGTCAGATTGCCCGAAAGTTAGGGGGCAGCTCCCCTCCCCACCCTCTTTCCGCCCCCTCTTCCCCCTTGGCTCGTACGCCTATGAACATATATGTTTACACAAAGTTTGATCATTCTTACCACAAAAGCAGAGTCACCATGTCCCAAAGGATGTGAAAGACGGACCGACGATTGGACGAAAAGACAGACAGATAGCCAAACACGTTTTAAAGTTAAATTATGGTGAACACTCTGCGTTTAATGGTCGAACAAATATTTTGAACTTTGACAAGGTTCTTATGTATGACCAAAATAATCAACATAAAACTAGCCCAAGTATAGCTTTAAGAATCTTGCAAATGGAATAAAGCAGTTTAATTTAACAAATAAACACATAGTTACCTTAATATCAATCCAACATTCCTGACAATATCCAAAATTACACCCTGAAGTGGTACATTTATAGAAGCCTCTCCCTTCTGTATCCTCACATATTAGACAAGTATCTTTTGAACTACCAAACAGTATGAGAAAACAACAAATGATAGGAAACTCTCTTCTTAAGGAAACGACTAAGCTCGTTTTTCTCTGAAATAAAAAGAATTCATCAGAGGTCAGCAAATATAAGTGTGGTTGATTTCAGTAAATATAAGTGTGGTTGATTTCAGTAAATATGTGGTTGATTTCAGTAAATATAGTGTGGTTGATTTCAGTAAATATAAGTGTGGTGGGTTTCAGTACACTGTTAAAAATGGGTGTAATTAAAACCTATAATCGATATTCATGAGTACTGAGCACCAGGATAGGTGTAATTGTAGCCGATAAAGGATGTTTGGGATGAGCTACCCATCTACAAGCGTTTTATTGTATTTACACCAACAGGTTTAATTATTTTAGGGAAACATTCCTCCGAATAAGGTGTCAATTTTTACACCAATTTGCATTTTTTTGTAAAATATGGCGTTAATTGCACTAGTAACACAACTATAACTCATTTTAGAGTGTTTACTCATAACGTGTAAAGTATAGATTATTTTAGCGTGTATACACTTAACGATGTGTAAATGTTCTAAAATATTACCAAGTACAATATCTTAATTAATAATTCTTAATTCAGGTGAGGTGCATAATTGAATAAACCATATTAGTTGTAAGAATATGTGTATTGATTTTTCCTCATGATTTATATTCATTGTAAATTAATACAGATTGTCTAATTGCCCAACACCAGTTGAATTTGAATCAGTCTGATGGGTATGTGTCAATTTAGTGTCGTTGTAAAATGACGGTCTATATGTATAATCTGGGTCGGGCTAAACGCCCTATACTAATTATCATAGAGACCGATAGCCAATTTCAAGTTTTCTGAACTTAAAAGTCGGTGGCTTGAAATAAATATCCAACAAAACAAATTTCACCCGCGTTGGTCTAATATTTAAAATGGAAGTGTAATTTACAAAACATCCTTGAAGGGTAATGCTTAATCTACACCCACGGGTGTAAACTATTTAAGTGTAACATTACAGTCTCGGTGCATCAGGCAAGTTACACTACTGTGAGTGGCAACCTGAACTGGTGTAATGTTCTACACCAGTTGGGTGTTATCGGTTTACACCACTAAAGGCTAGGAGTTACCCCTATTCAGGTGGCAACTAGTTTCCACCCGAATTGGTTTAAACTATCTTATTATTTTTAACTGTGTAGATATAAATATGGTTGATTTCAGTAAATATAAGTATGGTTAATTTCAGATCGAAACCGTCATTATTTCTGGTATCTGCACAAAGTCAGATGTATGGCAGTCAAGAAATTATAAATTTTATAAATAAAATCGAAGGTTACATAACATATAATACACATAAAAGGTTATTTACGATAAAAACAAATAGTCTTTCTTCTTTAGGTTAAATGAAATCAAATGGCGTGACTCCCAATGCGAGGTTAATAGTTCTAAGCCTTACATCTACCCAATAGAGATCTATAGCACCGTAACGTGGGCCTTAATCAACATTTAAACAGAGAAGGGTGCAAGATCCCCTACCTGTGCATGTTCTTGGACATTTCTTTCGCCAAGATGCGCATCTATTTTGGTCTAGTTTCAATATGCGTCATTTGTCATGCACTAGGCGAGCTATGCCCATCCTTTCCGGAACACCCGATACCATTTGTAACTGGGTTTATTTGTGTGAGAAAGGTAATCGGGTAGGTTCATTAACTGATATTTAAATGTATTCTTTTTGACTCTTAGTTTAGTTTCTTCTAGTACTTCAACCCTCAATTTTTTTTTATGCCATTATGGCATTGGGACGCGCCTTGCCACTCACTTTGACATTTAGAATTGTCTGTATTATATCGTGTTCTTCGTGTTAGGTATGTTAGAGCTCATTAATACAAGTGTATTGTAAAATGGGAATACGTTTCCTGACTATTTTACATTTTTTCGCTATTTTTTAAAGATATCTTTTAATTATTTTTCAAGACTTAAAAAAAAATGACAAAAGTACTCCAAAATTAGTTGTTGATAAAAAAAACAAAAAAACGTCAGAAAACGTCATAATGATAATCTTAAAAAATTGGTCTTTGCTTTTCGAAAGTGGAAATTCATACCAATGGTTCGTTTAGATCCGATAAAATGTAAAATGACCTTAAATTCAAAAGATATCAAATAAACGTCGTTTAAAACATGTTTAGGTAAACAAATCGTTATAATTTGCATGGTTGAAATTTCTGAACATAAAACATATTAAACAGGCATTATGCAAGAGCTAAATCTGCCTATTGCAGGTCTTTCTTTAGGGCTGAAATGTTATATAAACTATTACTTAGACATCAATTAAATTATCAAGATGCCATCGGATGACTGCGAGATAAGTAGATTTAAATACGTTTTGTGGTAGATGTGGTTACCGTAAAAATGAATAATCGAAACTTTGTTTATTATCTATCGTAACAACGATAGTAATAACAATCGAGGCTAGGCTGTAATTGTATCGCCGATATCTAGACTCAGAGTGAAGTAATTTGACTGAAATTTTCAGCATATTCTCTTTTCATTATCTACTATTTTAACTATTATAGCGAGAACTGTCAGCTCTTTGTCGATTCTTACCTAATACCGCTTTAATAATAAGCCGACAAGGTTTAGTATAATTATATTTTTGAATGGGATGATTTCATAAATAAGGATGTTTACATCCTCGAGACATGAACATTATTTATTATATACGAGTAGCAGAAACGTATTAAATGTCTATCAAATAAAACACCTATTTCTCTTAACGGCAGGAATACCTAGAAATAATTGTAATGTTTTTGGAGGATGGTTATGTTTTATGACTAATAGATTTTCTGACAGCTAATAGTTATAATGATTGCTAAAGTCGAATAATAAGATTTTTAAAAGCTGCATACATGTAGCATGTTGACCATGATTTTGATCAGTGCGTGATAGAGAATCTCCTATTTTGGTATCCAAATAGACGAGAAGAAGACTTTATTTATAACGCAACCCTTTCTTACACGCACAAATAGATAATTATAATTTTTTGGTATAGATTTTATTTCATGTAAAGCGATATCACTCTGAAGCCAATTGGCAAAATATTTATTTAAGATAAATCAATGACTGCGTGGGGATAACAAGGGATATTCTAAGACATATTAAAACACATATTGAATGTGAACAATTTTGTCAATTTTATCGTATGTCGGGTATACATTGTGACACAAAATTAAATAATTAAATATACTGAATTTTGGATTTTAAACACTAAATGATAAGGCATTCTAAATATAACTAGAAATAAATATCTAGGCCAAATCAAATCTTCATCAACCCGGTTGGCGCAGAAAAGTAGGACGTTAAACTCCATGTCATTAAAAACTTCATTTCTCGGCGAAATGTCTCTTTTGAAATTTGTTAACAATTAAGATGATAAAAACATGGGTAATTGAGTCACGTCATTTTGTGTACATATAAAGTATCTAAACAATAATAAATATTATTTACGCACCTTTAATTCTCTAGCTTTGACTTGTTTTCTAACTTTATGTCTCATATGACGTAAAAAACCATTTCTTTTCTTCAGCATATCATTATATAAATATAAAGTGCGTCGTTTTTCCCTCTACATTTAAATAATTTAAAAAAATAATATAAAAGCGGAAAAACTCCAGAAGACTGCAGTGAAATTAGTGACATGAAAAAATATTAATATTTAAGTTCACCTATTAAAGGGCAAACTAAGAACATACAGGTCACAAATCTATGGAATACAATTACAGCGACGTTCAATTACTAAATGCCAATGAAACAAACAAAGAACAGGGTATACGGGACTATAAAATGACATTTAAAATATTTTACACCTATAATAACTTAACACATAAATAATTCAATTACTTCTAAATTCTTGCGTGGGTATAGACAAAAAAAAAGAAGTAATATGTTCTACAAATGTATCTCTTTCCACGACCCCCCCCCCCGCTCCCCGCCAAAGGGTTAAAGTATGATTTTGATTGGGGCAGAGGTAGAAAACGTGTTGAGCGTACACGATATCTGTAGGTGCCTATTTATCTATATTGAGTGGACATAAAATCAGATTGGAAGATAGGACGATTTACTTATTCGGAAAGTTTCGATTTCTCATTCAAATGTTTGGTAAGTTGTTTTTTTTTTCTAAAAGTTTCTCTACCAGCGTCAGCCACTTTCTGTGATTCAGTCAAGTAATATTGTAGAGAACATAATGCAACGGACAATGCGTGATATAATCATTAACATACTTCCACAATAGTGTGTGTGTGGGGCGGGGGCTGACACATTCATATTTCTGACCAATCTGATTAAACTACAGATCTATATTTCGTTTCGTTTTTTTATACTTTGGATGGCCTACACTACATGAAGATCTGACCAGTTGTACTGGGGGAGGATGGCGTCAGGGGTCATACGAGCGGCTTTTGACCCTATGACACCAGACATTGATTAATCAATCAGCGTTGGCGTTTCTAGGGCTTTACCCACAGTTCCGTGCAGAGCACGCCAAGAACTCGCCGTAACAGACAGTTTCATTTGCTTATTCTTCACATCAACTAGAACGTCTGTTATATAACAACTCTTCCAGATCCTAGTGTTGTGAAGAGAAGTAAAGCGAAATTTTGAACTATAAAAAACGAAACGAAAAAGGATCTGACATGCTGTAAACGATAAGGTTGCGCTGGGGTCACAACAAACCAGCCATCTCTAAATCAACGAAATGCTCACACTATGGGCGACTGTACAGGGACCTTACTGGTAGGAGCAATCTCTGTGAAAGTAGATTCCTTTCCTTATACCAATCGGCCAGTGTTAAACATTCTTGTTCCACCCAAAATCTCAGTTATTAAAAATAATTTTGCTGTGAAGTTTTAAATGTACAAAGAAATAGCTAACCTAAATATTTCTTGCACAAAGATATAATCAACAAATCGTTTCAGTTAAAAACTGTCAGCTCAGCTTTCTCTGTTCAGGGAACTTAAAAAATATTTCATCCGGCTTGGATTTAATCGGTTTAAAAAAGACCATTTGAAAGACTATACACAACAATTAGGTGACACTGGGGTTTGTTTTGTATCGTCTCCATATGAATCTGAATATTGGGAAACTTTTAATTAATTTGCCATCTCCTTGGAGATAATAATCGAAATTAGGGATCTGGACCATTTATGAACTGATATTCGTTTTTGGAGAATCAGCTTTCACAATATAGCAGTTTGCAAGGGATTCAATATCTGAAATGACGATCAGCCACTTTAAAAGTTTTCAGTGAAACTTCCACCGAATATTTATACCCAACACTGTCTTCACCTTTGGATTGTTGAACCAATAATATGAATCAGCCATGAGTATTACCTTTCTATAATAAAAACCTGATATTACTCGTCTCATCCTAAGACCATACGCCTGTAGATATAATAAACACCAAACAGCAGCATATATACCAAACATCATATACACTTTCACAGAATCAACTTTACTGGGCCTCGGTAGACATCCTACAATACGAAACACACAAATAAAACGTCGATCTTTGGGTTTCTGTGTCCAATGGTATACAGGATGGCTTACGTTTTAGGGACGCTAACAATAATATTCGACACGGATAGAATAGTCGCAGATATAATTATACATATCTGGTAGGGACATGGGAAATAAAAATAATTTAACAAATGAATTCATTTCCCTAAGACAAACTGCACAGGTTCCGCTACACTGATGGTGACCGGAAGTTACAGGACTGTCAATGTACTTACTGCATTCATAGTAAAATATGTCAGTTAAATTAATTTGTCACCAAGCGTGGGGGTGACATGGTTATCACCAAGCTATTTTTCTGTCTCAGATGGTTGTTATTTCAATCAGAAAAATGTTGTTCAAATAGCTGCCAACTGCGTTGTCTAAAATGTCTTTGATAGGTGTTGTGTCCATTGCCACTGACCCAAAGCTTTATATTATTTACCTGTATAAGACATGTTGAAAGTAGCGTCTGAAAAAACCCACGATCGTGGCGATACATGGCAGTTTTATTGTTTTGTACACATCTTTAAATATAGATAAGTCATAGATATCACACAGACACTATTTATGGAATAACAATCACTGGTTTATTAACATGAAACGTTTCGACGATGATACTCTCGTCTTTATCAAGCAAATGATAACATATATATGTAAAACATCAAGTATTTATATACAGTAAAACAGAAGCCATAAATATAGACCTTATATATAACTAGCTAGTTATATATAAGGTCTATATAAAGTGCTAGTTATATATAAGGTCTATATTTATGGCTTCTGTTTTACTGTATATAAATACTTGATGTTTTACATCATTTGCTTGATAAAGACGAGAGTATCATCGTCGAAACGTTGCATGTTAATAAACCAGTGATTGTTATTCCATAAATAGTGTTTGTGTGTTACTGTTCAATTACTAAATGCCACTTAAAGAAGTCATAGATATGTCGGAGATGTATCTTTGGATGAGTCAGCTGTCCAAAAATGTAAGCTAATAATATACGATATTTCAGGGTCGGAATCTGCGTGTTAAAATTCTCCGGACTTTATATTTCGTGCATACCCCTGACCGCCAGCCTTCAACAAAAAAGAGGCTTGGGATGGATCAGACATTTCGGAATACAGACAAGGGCAGCGTTACGTTAATTGTAATCTGCATTTGTAATTAATTTATTTGAAATGGACTGTTGTAAAACATCCTTACCTAAGTTTGTAGTAATATTATCAATCTCGTGTTTTTGATTAAAAGCTTCCAGGAACAATTTGACAATATCTCCCATAAAACCATTACCATATACCTTCAAATCGATGTGGTGCTCACCTGAATATTAGTTGTTTTTTTTTTCTAAATATGGGTCGATTTAGGTAAAATGTATATATATATATGTTAATAATCAAAAATATCTTAACAACTCACAAGGTACATAAGTTGGCTCAGCGTTAATAAAATGCTTCCACTTATTAGGTGGCAGTGCCTTAATTATCCTGACATTACTGATATTTATTTTATATAAAATCGTTAGTAACGTGTACCCAATTATTTTATGTCAGGTTATAGCAAGCGTCATTCCTCGATAAATTCCAGTTATTTCCGACGTATTTGAAATTATACGCGGTCGGAAACGTTAACCCAGAAAGAAGATATTATTTCTTTGTAAATTTTACAAATGGTGGAACTTGAATAGTTCAATGAAATGCTGGGCTAATGAAAATGGTTGTATGCCATGCAGTGTGCTATGAGAGAAATTTGGCCCGGACAGCGGCACCAGTCACAGTCTACTCTTATTCGAATTCCAAATGTCAAGGGTTCTTTTACGTACACGCCAACGTATACATGTTATTTCGGTTTTGTTTTTCGTCCCATCATATATAACGCCTAAACACTCTCCTTCAATTCTAAATAAGAAAACAAATAAAGGTCTTTGAACTCTTGAAGTATGTCTAGATACAAAATATTCTCTATTTAGTGTAAATTAGTACATAGTATAGTAAGCTATAATGACTAAAAGGCACTTTATCACCCAATAATACATTCTACAGTAGATATCGCTTGTGTGATATATTTCATAATCTACTGCGATATCTCCTTAGGAGATATCGCTTTACATGAATTTGATTGGTCAGTTGAAAAGGAACTACTTTTTTTTATTTTCAAAGAACAGTTCATTTCTTATTAAAAGTAACTTTTTTTTTTATTAAAAATGAACTATTGTTATTCAATTGACCTTGATGGAAACACTGGGTCAATATAAAGGACTTTGCAATGGTTGAATTGCTGTCAAAAAATGAAGTATCACTACGCCGTAATGTTCAGTAAAAGTGAAATCTACAGCAAAGAATTATATTTATCTATTTGTGTATGTAAGAAGGGATTGGGTGATAAATAAAATCTCCTACTCGTCTTTTTTGATATCAAAAAATACTGGTAGGAGATTCTCTATATGTCCGGACCAATTTGTGTTACCGAATATCCAAACACTGGGATTGAACCCCAAAATCCTGATTAGTGAGTCTGTGCATTATTCACTGAGCCACCGCGGTTCTGTTACTTGAAATAAGTTAGGCTACGTTCGTTTATCTATAATCGAATCATAGTTTGCTATTTTTGTCGATTTACAGACAATGATGGACTTAAACGCTATGGTTGGTTATTCGAAAATTATTCTACTACTACTACTACTACTACTACTACTACTACTTTAACGTCTGCTTCCACAGAAATGATATAGCAGACAAGACAGGAGAGGCGAAGCTTCTTGCTGTTTTTAGAATATGATTTTGCAATCTTTCCATTTGCGGCCTTAGGCTATGGAAGTCATTCCCTTTATTTAATAAAAAAAAACCCCAAACGTATTCTTTGGTTGTTGATCTGTAGAGACAGCACATATGCGGACATTCGTCTTGTCTCTGGATCGGTAGATGTCATCTTTGTGGGTTTAGTGTTTAGGTGCCACGTCCGTCTTACCGTGGCCTCCGCTTACTCCACTATCCTACTCTGCGGGTTTGGTGTCTTTTTAGCGGATTAGTGTTAAATAGATGCCGAGTCCGTCTGACCGTGACCCTCCCTTACTTCACTATCCTGCTAATTTGGTATTTGTCCCCTATGTAATTTAGTGTTTAGATACCGAGCCCGTCTAACCGTGGCCCCCTCTTACTTCACTATTCTACTTAATCCAACCGTTGTCATTAAATCGTGAATTAGTTCGAATATTTACAGCTTCAGATCTGGTCTCGGAAAGAGTAGGTTCTTAGTCCCCTTCTCTCCTTGTATACCTCGTAGTCTACCAGGACATGGTGGTACATTCTTCTCCGCACTCACAGACGATGACTTGGTGTACGAAGACTGGCAGCTGCTCTTTCACCCTTGTCATCCAGCCGGAAATTATGTATGTGTCAAGTTCAACGAGCTTTAGTTCCCAGATTGAATTGACCTGTCTTTTAACCATACTGTATATTTCCGTGGTGCTGTATTCTATGGCGCGGAGTGGTGCCGTGTCCCTGAGACCTTCGTTGGCGAGTCGATCTGCCTCCTCGTTTCCTCTGATGTCCACGTGTGATGGAATCCACACGAGCTCTAGTTTGCTTCCCTTCTCTAGGTACAGCTGCCGGATTTCCAAAATGACTTCTGGTCTTGAGTCCGAAGTGTCATTTTGGATTGAAACCAGACTGCTCAGAGAGTGTAGACCTAACAGTTGTTGGGCAGTTTCCTGCTTATTCCCTGTTCTCCGTTTGGCAGGTATATTCCAAACGAGCTGGTGTCCCTTTCGGGGTTGCATGAGCCATCCGTATAGACATTGTCCCATTTATCAGACGGCCAGTTGTCTTCCAGGTGTTCTAGAGAGAAAGCACGTGCAGCAATATGGTGGTTTCTCTTTTCTGTAGTTCTAGATTGACTGGGGGTATTGTGAGTGTCCAAGGGGCGATCGCTGGTGGGTCGCCTTCATTTATTACGAGCTCCCCCAGCCGCAGTTCCATGACTGTTTCCTTGAAACCCTGGGCGAAGCTTTTCTTTCTAGGATCTCTCACATATCTTGTCTTCTTTAGTCTGACAAAGATTGGGGATCTTTCGCCCAACTGCGAGATCTTAGCCCAGTATCTTGTCGCTAGTTTCTTTCTTCTCAGGTATAGGGGTAACTCCCCGGCTTCCGGTAGTAATGCTTCTCTCCTAGTCCCAAGCCCTACACCATTCGCAATACACCGAGCTTTGTATTGGATGGTGTCAAGCTTTTAAGAGTGTTGGCGAACAGTTCATGAAAGCCAAAGAGCCGTAATCTAATACAGAGCGCATTAGAGCACGATACACCATCATTAATGTAACTCTGTTGGCTCCCCACGAAGTGCCTGTTATTTTTCTCATTAAGCTTATGATTTTGGAGCATCTATTCACAGTCTAGTCGATGTGCGGTTTCCTGGGCCCGATTCCTAGAAAATTCTTAAGCACGTTGTTGTGTTTAGATTTTAAGTAGATTTTGCATTTAATTAAACTTATCTTATTTTGTGTTACCAGAAAATTCTTAAGAACGTTCTTGTGCTTAGATTTTAAGTAGAGTTCAGTGTAGGCACAAGCACATTATTATGTGTTCCAAGAAAAAACTTAAGCACAACTTCGTTCTTAAACATTGTCAATCTAAGCACAAGTCCCAAGCAAGGTATACAGCTTGCTTACCAACCTTGAAAAGCCCGTCTATTTCAATCAAGATGGCTGACCGTAGAGTTATTCGACGGCATTTCCTTCATCTTTTGATACCAAAAAGACAATTAAAAGACAGAAAATCCTTTAGAAACATAATTATTATTCTCGAGAAGAATATAGAAAATTTCGTTTCTGCCCTGAAACCATTTTATTTATTTACCAATTAGTTAACAACACAAACACGGGATGCTTTAAGATCAGGCGCTCTCACAATTATTCAGTCTGTTTGCATGTGCTTGTGGGTTTTTTTTTAACTTGTGGCACATTTTATATATAGGAGTCATGTATATGCATCTAAATCGACCATTTGCCGGAAAGTAGCCGACCAATTTATGACGTAATTCGCATACCAAAATTGTTTTTATGACGTTAGAGAACATCGTAGCCTCAGTTTACCAGTCACAATGTGCTTAGACTCATACTTGACTTGTGCTTACGAAAGAACGGTCTTGAGAATTTTCGAGAGACGGTATTTTATAAAGTTTCTTACGTAAGCAAAGGTGAAGCATGACTTTGTGCTTACTTTAAGAATTTTCTAGGAACTGGGCCCAGGTCAGTCTTCTGTCAAAGATTACGCCAAGGAACTTGGTTTGGTCTTTAAACTCGATGGTTTTCCCGTTCATACAGAGTCATTCTGCTCATCCCACTATCCCTAAACCCAAGTTTGACGTCTGTTTTCTTCTCTGAGATTTTGAATCCCCAGTCGTTTGCCCATGTGAATTTGTTTAAGGTCTTTTGCATATTTTTTGTAGTTTACAGTAGCTTGTCCCTCTCCTCCAAATTGTACTGTCGTCAGCAAATTTTGCTAACTCAATTCTGGCGTCGAGGTAGGACGATTTCTGTATGTCGTTAATCATGATATTGAAGAGAGTGGGACTGATGATCGACCCCTGAGGCGTGCCATTTTCAATTACTAATGAAGGGTGCTGTGAGTAAAATATTTCCTTCCTCTTCAAGAATTCTGGTGATTGGTATTCATTTCTGCTTGCGTCTGCAAATGTTTTAGCAAGTAGATCTGTCTTTTCATTGCCGTTGGTAAGGTACTTATCTCCATTCTCAAGGTTTGGTATGTTGAATGATCTGCGCTTTCCGTTCATAGCGTTCAGTTTCTTCCAGACGACACCTGTTTGCGTGTTTTGATTCAACGCATTAAAGAATATCATCCAGTGCCCACTTTGTGCCTTCTGGATGGTTTCTCTTGCAGCGTATTTCAATTTTGGTGGCTGACTTCTTTTTAGTGGCGTTTTCGTAGGCGAAGTGTCTTTTTTCTTTCGTAAACTGCCTTCTGACATTCTGGCGACCACCAAGGTTTTGTGTTCCTTGGTTTCCTGCCAGAAGTCTTTGGAATGAAGTCGTCTGCCGCGCCTATAATTTCACCTGTGATGTTGGCAGAGTATATATAGGGGTCATGTATATGCATCTAAATCGACCATTTGCCGGAAAGTAGCCGACCAATTTATGACGTAATTCGCATACCAAAATTGTTTTTATGACGTTAGAGAACATCGTAGCCTCAGTTTACCAGTCACAATGTGCTTAGACTCATACTTGACTTGTGCTTACGAAAGAACGGTCTTGAGAATTTTCTAGAGACGATATTTTATAAAGTTTCTTACGTAAGCAAATGTGAAGCATGACTTTGTGCTTACTTTAAGAATTTTCCAGGAACCGGGCCCAGGTCAGTCTTCTGTCAAAGATTACGCCAAGGAACTTGGTTTGGTCTTTAAACTCGATGGTTTTCCCGTTCATACACAGTCATTCTGCTCATCCCACTATCCCCACTCACAAGTTTGCCGTCTGTTTTCTTCTCTGAGATTTTGAATCCCCAGTCGTTTGCCCATGTCGTGAATTTGTTTAAGGTCTTTTGCATATTTTTTGTAGTTTACAGTAGCTTGTCCCTCTCCTCCAAATTGTACTGTCGTCAGCAAATTTTGCTAACTCAATTCTGGCGTCGAGGTAGGACGATTTCTGTATGTTGTTAATCATGATATTGAAGAGAGTGGGACTGATGATCGACCCCTGAGGCGTGCCATTTTCAATTACTAATGAAGGGTGCTGTGAGTAAAAGATTTCCTTCCTCTTCAAGAATTCTGGTGATTGGTATTCATTTCTGCTTGCGTCTGCAAATGTTTTAGCAAGTAGATCTGTCTTTTCAATGCCGTTGGTAAGGTACTTATCTCCATTCTCAAGGTTTGGTATGTTGAATGATCTGCGCTTTCCGTTCATAGCGTTCAGTTTCTTCCAGACGACACCTGTTTGCGTGTTTTGATTCAACGCATTAAAGAATATCATCCAGTGCCCACTTTGTGCCTTCTGGATGGTTTCTCTTGCAGCGTATTTCAATTTTGGTGGCTGACTTCTTTTTAGGGGCGTTTTCGTAGGCGAAGTGTCTTTTTTCTTTCGTAAACTGCCTTCTGACATTCTGGCGACCACCAAGGTTTTGTGTTCCTTGGTTTCCTGCCAGAAGTCTTTGGAATGAAGTCGTCTGCCGCGCCTATAATTTCACTTGTGATGTTGGCAGAGTAAACGTCGAAAATTATAGGGTGGTTAACGCTTTATTGATATTTGAAGTGCATTTGATTGGTTTAAAGAGCATATAAAATAAGAAACTTAAATTGTGTGTATTTATATCCAGTGGTTACTATATACGTATTACGGCAAGTTCACACTAATCCGATCAAAATCATTATTACCGTATCAGTATCAGGCACCCGAATACACTTTTCAATTTTCAATTACAGCTTTAATCCGGTTGATTGGCTGGTGACGTCACAGAGACTACACATAGTTATATACATTATCTATATATACATTACATCACTGCCTATATACACCACTAGTTGACAAATGTTTAATGACCGTCCAATTAACCTATGTCTGCTTTAATCATAAACTCCGTATTATTGACATGTAAGCTACACTACATAAATCAAAGCATCTTTAAAAGCTGGCATTTCTCGTCTTGCATTGTTGTAGATTACACATTTGTGATTGGAAATATTAAAGTGAATTTTAAAATGATATATCATGCCGTAGATCCATTCAGCTACCTTTGTGAAAATAGGCCACGTGGCAAATGAAGACGATCCAAGCAACTGACACATTTACCGGTCATTTTGATAACCCCGTTACACCGACTAATATCCCAAACTATTATCTATAAGCACAGAAATACGAATGGTGCCATTCGATATATTCATATTTATGGTAATCACCATTTATAAACACAGAGAACAACTTTTGTTACAGCTCCATTTGAAATTCAGGGCGAATATGGAATTTTCTCGTGATCAGTCAACCAAGCTAGTTGAGTAATGGGGTAAATAATAATTATAAACAACCGGTGGAAGATGAAAAACTTCAATATACGTCAATGTACGCCCCCACCGCCCCTCGGAATATGTCATAAAATTTATGAAGCGATCTCAAAATTCATAGCAGAATCGGGAATCAACTGTCAGTTTAGTTGCGAAAAAAAGCTAACTGGTTATGTAGACCAGGTTGGCAGCTAAGCCATCTGTATGCTTTGATAATATCAGAATAACTTGACATTAAGATAGGGGACTACATATCTAGTTACAAAGGAAGGAAGTATGGCGGTTCAGTCTACTGTATGATTTAATATAATAATTTGATAATATCAGAATAAATTGGCATTAAGATAGGGAACTACATATCTAGTTACAAACGAAGGAGCTACAGCAGTTGAAGTATGGCGGTTCAGTGTTATGTATGATTTAATATAATGATATACTCTTCAAAAAAAAGTAGGAGATATTGAAATGCAAATACCTATGCAGGTTGTGATATGATAAATAGTCATGGACACTTGGCATGCTTTGAGAGTATGTTCACAGATGAAGAACTTATCGCCCCAACAGAACCACTGAGCTGCACGTCCGATACGCAACTTCAAGGAAGGGTTGATGAAAACTGTCGCGTGCTGGTTTATCCTATCAATGTTTGCTTTCCTATCGGTTTTTGCATAAGATTTACTCTTTAGCGTATCTTTGCTTTAGTGTGTTAGTTTAATTTGCAATGAGACGTCTTCAACATGATGACCGTCTACGTGCTATTGGCATGCTTCAAATGGATTCTACACAATGAGCAGTAGCCAACATGCTTAATGTAACACAGTCTGTGATGAGCAGACTGTGGTACCGGTACCAACAAACACACACTGTTGATGATAGACCTAGTTCAGGTCGTCCTAGAGCCACTACACAAGCCCAGGATTGATACACATGTCCTTCGAAATCGAGGACAAATGGCCAATCATCTTTCTGTAAACTTGTACCAAGTTACAGGAATTCTAGTTACACCCCAAACGATTAGAAATCGGCTACATTCAGCCCATTTGCATGCGCGACGACCGCGTGTTGTGCCTTCATTAACTCGCCAGCACATGGCAAACAGGCGTCAATGGTCTAGGCAGCGTATAAATTGGGGTAATCGTCGATAATTTCACCGATAGGCGTGCTCGCGTTTGGAGGCGTGTAAATGAGCGTCTTGGTAACGTTAACGTCAGATTCGGGCGTGGGTCTGTTATAGTGCGGGGAGGAATCACCATGACTGGCAGAACGGACTTGCATATTGTTCAAGGAAGGGTCGACGTTTCATCTTTCAAGATGATAATGCCCGTGCCCACCGCGCTCGTGTCGTGAATGACTACCTCCAGCGTCACCATATTGTCCATATTATGCCTTGGCCAGCCATGAGTCCTGACCTTTCCCCTATAGAGCATGTCTGGGACATGATCGGGAGACGTGTTCGTCTTACCCCAAATCGTGATTGGACGGTTGATTAGGAGCATGCAACGACGAATTGCTGAATGTCTGAGGATTGGTGGAGCAATTACTCATTATTAAGACAAAAATCAAAAACGTCCATTTTCACTTTTGAAAGTGTATCTCTTTGCGAGTGAAATGGGGCCGTCAGATAAGCCGCTCATATGAACTGTTTATGTTCATGTGTGGGAAATTGGCCTGTTATTAACATACACTGGTTACCTCTAATAAAAACAGCAGTGCATTTCTGCAGTTTTGTATTGTTTCTGAATATCCCCTACTTTTTTTGAAGAGTATATATTAGGGAAAAATAATGACAAAAGGAATTATGTCTAAAAATTTAATGCCATGTATTATTTCTATAATGTTTTAATTTGGTTTAATTGCTTTGTTCTGTGTTGCTGCTGACTCTTCTTTTGCTTTTCATGTAACTGTTATCTTTAACTTTTAAACACTGAAGTGGTGAACCACATTAAAGGACTTTTAATTTTAACTAACGTTTAACCATATGGAACTTATTGGACGAACAGTTTTTAATATGTAAATAATCCACTAGTCCTGCTATGTGGTTTTTACCGCGAGCACTTTGCTTTTCCACGGGGTTGGTTTTGTCCGCACTGATGACGCCTAACCTCCTGTTTGGCTGGACCTCCTGTTTTAACTTGTTTTTATTATGACAAAGAAAGACTGCCCTTTCTTCTCACGATAGCGATTTTATAACTGTGTTTTAAGCAAAAGCGTTTTATAGCTGAGGCGCTGGAGGTGCTGAAGGCGCCAGCCTCCTCGCGAAAAAAATCAAAGAATTGAACAAATAAAACGGGAGAAAAATGCTAAAACCGATGAGAAAAATGAAAATGTACCCTAGTTAGGGAGAGCCCTAAAGGCAGGCAAAAGGGCCCCTTGTCTGACAAAGGGAAAGGGCCCCCGAGTCCGAGTCAATCGTTTTCCATACACTGTTACTGGAGGATATGTCAGAATACACCAAAATGTTTTCTATTTTGTAAAATTTCTCGACCTCTGGTGGCCGGTCGCAGAGAATTCCCCCCCCCCTCCAGGGAAAGAGGGCCCTCAAAATAGTATAGCCTCCGTCATGATAAACCTCAAAACGTCCCTGGTTTTAAGGTGACTTTTTGATTTACAAGGACTTTTTTTATTGTTGTGTTTTTACCAATGTTCAACCCTTTATGTGTAAATGATGATGAGTAAAACTTATTTATTCCATACAATTAACGAGTGTACCATCACCTTGTGGACGATAGCATAACGCTTTCGTAATGTAATTCTAAATGCGACATACAGTTTAATCAATTATTACTAAAAAAGACATGTGATGGGAGAGACACAGAACCACAATAATTTTTAAATTTCATCTGAAGTGCTCCATATTGATACATAGCACTGTGAAGGGGTAGTCGGTTTGGTATTCTTGCGAGTATAGATATTTGTAGTTCGACACGTGTTGCGTTGTTTTGCTTCTTTTTTTTTTCTTTTTTTTTGGAAATTATGCACTAGATACAGGCTTTAAGATATATTTAGAGATATTTACCTCTTTGTCTGTAATCAACATGACTATGTGTACCTATAACACTTAGCACCGTATACAATAAATGATCTAACAAAACAACAATGCCACTAATAATAACACGAAATAATAGTTTAACTGTTCCTTTAACCTGAAATACAAAATAAATACGTAGTATAGCGTCCCACTGTTCTGCTCCGACTGGATCAATACACCGAGGGAACTTCTGCCCCGACACAGGCGCTACGGCCTACTCTTATATCGAATTCCAACTGCCAATGGTTCTTTTATGTATACGCCAATTTGTAAGGGGGGGAAGCTCCGTTTTTCGCTTCATCCAAACGACTATACTTTATCACTTACAAGGCCCTCTCTCCTGCACCACTGACAAGAAGGAACCACGACGTAAAATCCTGATGAACATTCTAGGCCAACACCGGGATCAAACACGGGACTTCCCGGATAAGCGATTCAGAATTCTGGCTGATCCAGCAGAAGAGAATCTACAATGAACGCCGATACTTGATTCGTTCGGAGGAAAACAGTTTATTAATGTAAACCGCAAGAGAGGCATATATTATATATTGAAACCGTGACAATTGTTAATAGTCTGTTTGCTTTTGCTACACCCAATTCTTTCAAAAAATCATTTTTTAACATCTAATCGATATACCCTGTTCGTGCCAGTCTTAAAACAATAAAAACAGGTTAGACAGTAATAAAAGATGGCTTTCGCATAACAGTTTGAGACTTCATATTTCAAAACTTATCTGACAGGAAATTATAATACTCTAAACATAAGGTTATGCTTACCAATTTTCTATTTTCCCGCTTCTGTAATTTTGGCGTGGATGGGAATATGACATCATTTCTTTCTAGTCGTTTTAATGGAAGTAGGACCTTTTTGTCCTAGATATAAATTTAAAAAAAGCTTAACGATTCGAGTACGTATAATATATGATTAAAATAATATCATATCGATAGATCTTTACATAAGTCAATATTATCAGGTTCTTAAGTGCCTAAAATTATGATATTTCACTTTTTAATTAGAAGCTTACCGTTCCATGTCGCCTGGCATCAATTCGCCGGAAGTAGGCAGTGATGTAATTATTATCGTAACGGAAGTCGGATAGATAGTTTTTGTGGTATTTATAAGCACTGAAGTGAAGATAAAGAGTCATAATATACAACCTGTTTTTTTATAATATAATATGGCAAGATATTTGATGATATTCACGTACAGGGCTAATTCTATCATATTTCTGAAATTAATTATATAGTCATTTCACGCCAAATAAAACTGTTGTGTTTTGTGAAAATGGAAAAGTTTTAACCCTCAACTATTAGTTAAATCCAGTTAACCGTATTTCACACAGCCCTATTCAGAGGGGATATTGACTTCCACATGGGAGCTTGGTGGCTGAATGAAAGTTATTCGGATATGTTGGTTTGATTCGGCGCCCAGTTTGGCGCGGTATCTTTTAGTTTCCAAATAAAGCGAACTTATAATATTTTTACAACTAAAATGATAGGCATACATCATAGAATTGAGTTGTTTGAAAGCTCTCTAGCACAGTGTTTTATAACCACAACCCAAAAGAATTCGACGTAACCTACCTGATAAAAACGACGTAATAGATAAAGTAACGTACCTGATAAAAACTAGTACAAAAGTAAACGCTAACAATCTTTGAAGTAATGTCATGAAAAAGTCAACAACCACTTTGCGTGTTTCGAATTCATGCATGGTGGACTTTCTGGTTTCTTCAGCTGTTGTATAATCAAGATCGCCTGGAGATTTAACCATCTGAAACATCAAGCACTTTTTGAATTTTATTACGGAATATGTGAATTACATTACGTGATGTAAAGATTAGTTGCTATTTATGTTGATTTGTATGAACAAAACATGAAGCGTCTACATAAACCGCCCGTGTTAAATACTAAGGGGTAAGCTTAAATATGGGTAATATTTAAAAAAATTGTCGGTCGTATATAGCTGGTCGTTCTTGCTACGCTATAAGAGTTTAGAAATAGAAAATGACAAATGAATATATTGAATATTTCAGTTAAATAAATTTAGTCTGAGCGAAGTTATGAGTGTTTGAAGTTTTGACAAGAAATAGTCCATTGTCAAGTACCACTGCCGTGATAATTAACGAAGTCTCGAATGTCAACCCTTTTATTTTGAGCGATGTCCATTTTAATGTTAACCGATTATATGGTGGGAATGGTTGTATTCATTCAATATCTAGAGAGTTGATGACGGGGAGAGAGAAATGGGTTTAACCTCCACTCAACACAAACTAGGTCATTTTAGGACTAACACATGGTTTAATTTTATTTCAATAATTCGCTTGCGCGTAGGGGTCTTTAGCAGTGGGGGGAAACCGGAGGACCCGGAGAAAACCCACGAGGTTGGACAGCCGACCCTACACTTTGTCACGTACATCCGGGGAATCGAAACCACGCCAGTTGACTCAATGACAGACCTTATGATACAGCGCGCACATCTAACCATTCGGTCATCCAACACCGCAGTTGTAGAGCGGGAGCCCAGGGGGTTAACCTAGCTAAAAAGTGTACCAATTTTCTCCTATATGGTATCAATGCATGTGTATCTGGTATCATCAGAATGTAAGTCTGCCGGGTTTCTGGTGGTGGGTGTGGTATTCCACGCCCAAAATGCCATGTCCCCCAACTATGCTAGATTAGCTCAGAAGTGTACCACATGAAAATCGTACAGCAGTATACCGTACATCTTCAGGTGTTACAAAAATACTTTAACAGACATTTCAGTGGTGGGTTACCCCTGACAGATCTATGTAATTGCCAGACATTTGTAGTGGTAGAGTATCCCTGAACAGCTAGGCTAGATTAGTTGAAATCTGTACCCCCTAAAACAGCTTTGGAGTTGTTTAGTACCACCACAGAAATCATGAATGACCACTGCCAGACAGTTTATACGGTGGATTACCCCTAACGGACACGCCCAAAATGCCCCCCCCCCCACTACGATAGATTAACCGGCACTGTTCCCGTGGTCCAAAAAATTAAAAATCGTCCCAGGATGCGTAAAATACTAATACCTAGCACGTATGGAAGAGGCGATACTCTGCGATAACATATAGGAAAACATTGGTACACTTTTCAGCTAGGTTGGCCCCCTGGGCTCCTGGTCTATTGACGACGGGCTTGTCATGTGTATAAATAATCAAAGGTAAAATATCCATAAACACGTGTTATAAATGAAAGTAACTAAACAAAAAAAAATATCGAAATATTGAATAAACATCCATCAATTAGAGTAGCAAATAACTCTTTTGTGGTGAGTTATAGATGGTACGGGGGCGGGGGGGGGGGGGGTGCAAAACAACCGACTATCTGAAAATGTGTCCGTTTTGAGGGTCTCTCTCACACTGATTAGCAGTGAATATTCGCTAGGCCGCTACAATCACTGATAAGAATGACATCAATGCGACTTAATGAGCCTCAAATATTATCTTTTTTCACCGACAAATTAAATTATAAAACATTTTTTTTGATGTATTAGAAAAATAAATAAAGACGTTTGACGTATTTGTAGGTAAAAATTATTTCCTATTTAGTGTAAATGGGTATTAAAATGACTAAAAGGCAGCATTCTGCCCGAAGCAGTAACGTCTTATGTAAACAATGCTCGCGCCATTCAGCCAATGATTGACGCCGCGTGCTGTGACGGCGCGTGTTAAAGGCAGTCATCCTTTACAGAGATATTAGAAGATATTAGTAATTCTCAGTGAAACAGATTGGGTGTCTCTAGAATATATCTGGATTCGCGCTTGTATAGTACCAGATTAGGATAGTAGTAATATTTACCTGTAAAATAAAAACATTATCGATTGTTGTGCTTTTGAAACATTACGTAGGTGTATTATTTAGATTTCAGACAGCTGATTATGAACTGTGGGTATTATTTGCTGCTCTCATAGTTCCGGAGTTACGTATAAGAACTGATAATAGGTTTGAGAGGATGTGGTTTGGCGTGCAATTTATCAACCCACGTCCACAGACAGGCAATACAATATATAGATTTATTTGTCGATATAAATATTCGTAGGGTATTTTTTCACTGGAGACCCTTTATTTGGATGTTAGGTTATTTTGAGCAAATGGAAAGTTAAATACGGCTCATTATGTAAGATTAATAGGAAAAAATGTCCGCCAAACAAATTCTTATGATCAAAAGGGGGATTTTTTAAACAAGATTGAGAACATATCTAATCTCAACTTGGAATATAAGGTCATTTATAAATCAACTATGTACTCCCCAATCTGTCAAAAGCCCAGATCTCGTAATACTGTAGAGTGGAATTTTGGAGAACAAACGAGAACATTAACTAAATATTTAATTTCGTGTTAGATTATCTCATTGGAGTAACATCTGATTTTAAATGAAATGACTGGGTTAATGAAGATGGGCATACGTCATGCAGTATGCTATGGGTGGGTGTTTGCGTGTGTGTGTGTGTGTGTGGGGGGGGGGGGGTATCCGGACAGCGGCGCTACACGGGCCGTCAGTTTTTCGTCCCATCCGAACACCTGGCTATACAGTGTACTTTGCCAGGCCCTCCGCCTGACATCTGACAAAGGGGGTGGGGGCACGCTGGAAAATCCAGATGGACTGCCTGGTCCAACTTAGTGAACGAACACGGGACCCCCAGGATAGCGAGCTAACTTCCTACTCATTGGCATTTTGGAGCCCTGGCATATGCAGATAATGTCACCTTAACTACGCCAACAAGAAAGGCCCTACAAGAATTACTTAACATTGCAAAGTCCTACTCTAATGAATACGACGTCAAATTTAACAATTAAATTTGTTGATATTAATATTAATATCTCCACTTCAGAATTACATTTAGGTAATCCAATCTTCAGTGATCAAGCCAAAGATAGACAAACTAGGTGATTTGGGGACTAACATAGGGTTCAATTTTATTTCAATAATTCGGTTGCGCGTAGGGGTCTTTAGCAGTGGGAGGAAATCGGGGGACCCGGAGAAAATCAACAAGGTTGGACAGGCGACCCTACTCCTTGTCACACACAACCGTGGAATCGAAATCACACCAGTTGACTCAATGACAGACCTTATTATACCTGGCGCAAAAGTGTAAGACGCATATTTAATGTTCCATATGGAATAATAGTAATAATAATAATAATGTCCATTTATAAAGCGCTATATCCACAAAAACGTGCTCATGGTGCATAGTACACTAGTCTCTAATAATATAATTCAAACAGATAAGTTTTCAAGTCAGATTTGAATTTATTAAAGATACATTATGGGAGATTAGATAACTGGCAGTTCTAACTATAATAGTTAAAAACTAGATAATGTAATTTGTAAAGGGAATTTTAGTCAAACTGACCCACTCTGAACCGAGAATTCAGCGATTGGATTTTAGGCCTATACTCGATCACGATTATCCATACTCGATCTCGATTATCCATTTTTGATTTAATCATCAATGAGCGTTGAGCATCAGATTGGATTCCAATATCGCAGGCTAGCGATGACATCGAGTTGATTATGGTCTGGATGACCTGGCGCCTGGTACGTTCGGGCATTTTTATGCGCGAACTCTTAGGTTTTTTTTTACTGGCACGCGCACAGGTACTATTTCTTTTTCTTTTAACAAGTACCCAAATCGGCGATTTCGTGCGGAGGTAGTTCGGAGGTAAACAGTCTGTGAAGTACAACATTTGCCACTGTACCTGTGTATCGCTAATTATAAACCGAATGTGTGAAGACAGTTCATACATATCACTCAAAAATTTTTCAGTACAAACTCAGTTGATTCACGCTCGATTTGCTACTAAACAAACCCATCGGTTTATTTTCTCAACAGTGTGACCCGAAGTGACCGCGGATTTATTGACCTTGTATGAACTTATCCATAGCTATATCCTTACACCGAGAGAAATTATCTAGTCTCGGTGAAAAGAACCATGGTCATCTGGTAGAAAATTACTTTTGTATTTTATGGAACGGAAAACGGTGTTTTTAGAAGCAAACTAACCTGCCGCACATGAGGAAGTCATTATACTAATAATAAAAGGCGAGACCTCTTTTTGCGGCGCAGGCTTATCACTGAGTAGTAAACCGTCCACAAACAACAATATAGAAAGCCTAGTGACGAGTGTAGGCTATAGACTATAGGTTTGGGTCGAGAATACTCGCTTTCAGTTTACTCTGTTTTTGCGAAAACCAATTATGTGAGAAATACCATACTGACATTCGGTTTTTAAAAGTTGTACGCGAACTAAATGCGTTTGTTAGATACTGACAGAGCAGCCCCGAGTCGAACAATCGCCGCCCGAGCTGTCTTCGTCAGCTAGTTTCACAATATCGTGCAATAGGTGTTTAATGTGATTTTTAGGTTTAACCCCGCAAACAATGCCAAAATAGTGTTTTCACTGCTTACAGAAAACTGAAATTTAAAAAAAAAAATTTTTTATGAGGGTGACCCTCCCACACACTCCCTATCGAGCTGCCGTTCGGTCTGCGCAGCCTCATGCCTGGCACATACTGTCAACATTGTATATTTTTCCGTTTCCACCCTTCCCCCCAACAATATATATTTCACGGCTACGTTGCGACGGTACCAGCATATCCAGTTGTTGACACCCATTACATCACTCCTGTCTAACAAATCATAAAGCTGTGGTGTTACGGTGGCGGCATAGTATTTCACCGTAACACCACAGCCACTCTAACCATTCATAATACATCTAACTATCCCTTTACAGCACTTCACTCCCTACACATTTCCCCTCGTCCTACTTTCCCAAACGTCAACACCACATCTCATACATCCAGTTCGCTGATTAACCCTTGTACCACGTCTACTTGATAAGTTAATTAATGTTTAATTAATAATTTAGATAACATTTCGAGCCTAAAGAAAGACCTGTAAATAGGCAGATTTAGCTCTTGCATAATGTATGATTAAGTGTAGGACTTCTGTCACGTTATAATGGTAGTTTGTTCCACCTTGTAGATGCAGTGACTTGGAAAGAACGACCACCAAATGATTTCAATTTCCACTGAGGAACACAAAGTTCTTTTCTGATTAATTGATCGTAACTGTCTTGCTGGGATCTAAAGTTTTAAGAGATCGAACATGTACTTCGGTACGTTTCCGTCCAGCCATCGATAGGCAAGAGACAATATTTTGAAATCGACCCTGGCTTGAACAGGCAACCAATGTAGTTTTTGCAGTACTGGAGTGACATGAGAGCGTGGATTTGACCTAGTCACAATGCGATAAGCTGTATTTTGGATACGTTGAAGTCGTTCTGTTTGATACTCTGGTGTGCCGACAAGTAGACTATTGCATAATAATGTCCTATTACAATCTCAAAAATTCTCACTAGTTTAACAACCGAGTCTCGGATTTAATTAGTAGGCTACTTCAAAATATTAAATATTTACCTTAAACTGTAAATTAACAGCTAATTTGGATTCTAAACCATTTGTCATTTTTTTAGCTGCCAAAAAAACCTCACCTAAGCCAGGATTCATAACAGCCATGGAATTACAATCTAAACCTGCAGCACCAGGTACAACTGCAGAAATTGAATAAAATTGAATCTATATTATGTTATGAATTTGGTTATACGACCCCCATTAAAGTTTCTTAAAGGACAGTGTTGGTGTCCACCAATTTTACATATCTAATAGACCTGGTTAAACACATTCCAGAAATAATTTTAACATAAAGATCTTTACTACGATTGATCTGTAACAAGGATTTGAAAAATCGGAAAGTGTAGCAAGTAAAAGAGCGGTAAGATACGATTTAAACCTAAAGGATAATTCCTGTGATGTTGAAGAGTTGTTAGATAAGATTATGGGAGGATATCAGTTCGAAACCATGTAATCTTTGAAAGCTTTGACTGCCAAGCGTGAAAAGGTAAAAAAAATGAGGTTAGGTTAGGTTAGGTGTAAACGTACACCTCGTACACTACTTAGCAGTAAAGAACATTACCTTATTTGGTCTACCCAACATATGTCATTAACAAGAAAGTATTTGATGGCTATTTTGACAATGGTAAGGATTTTACCAAATTATCACTGTTTTTTTTATATATTATAAATATATCACTCAAATTCATTTAAGTACGTGTGATTTGACTATAGAAAGTGGGAACCAAATAATTAGTTAAAAATACAATTTGGTCGCAAGGAACATAGTATTACACTATTCCACACTTCCTTCTTATGGATCAACACTGTCCTTTAATATATAGCATATAGTGTGCTGAACAGTGTTAACAAAAAACATGACATATTTGATCATAATTTCATTTTACAAATCCCTCTTGGCATTACAAATTAATAATTTAACAAAGAGAAAAATAGTGCACAATATCCCAACAGTTAATCAAAATTCAGTTCAGTGAATATAAATCGGATAACTAAATACGGGCCTCCTCCGAGGAACGTCCCTATATAATGTTCTAAAAGTCACACAATAATAGCCATTAAAATACAGATGTGACGTCATCCTTTAACGTTGGCGTACCATTATTTCCAATAATGTATGGGCAACTTGACAATCGTACATTATCTGTACTAGATGAAATATTGAACTCGCGTGACGTTTTTCATTGAAAAGCACGTGCGGGACAGTGTCGTATTTTAAGTTGTAACATGAACGGGAAATCTTCCTTTGTTCTTTTCGATGAATAAGCAGATTGTTTTCCCTCTAGTAGATTCGGTGGAGCTGAACCGTGCAATAACTAGACATGTTCAATGCTATTACACCCTTTTGCTGGTTTACACTAGTTTTAGTAGAAATCATATAGAGAAGTGGGGTGGGTTTTCTGTACAATAACAAGCATGTTGAGCAAGAGAACAATGTTACAAGTCATTTATAGCAAGCCGTGCTATAAATATAACTTGTTTAATGGTCTCGAGCTAAAGACATTGCGTGATATATTGAAACAACACTCGGCTTACGCCTCGTGCGGTATCAATATACCTAATGTCTCGCTCTCGACCATTAAACTATACATAATGAATGATGTCCTCTTAACTGCCTATCAGTTAGTTATGTGTAACCTGTAGTCGTTTACCTGAATAACAAAATAATTATAATTTTTATTTAGAAGATGGAAAAAAAATATATTAAGAAAAACGATGTAAATATTGTAAGCTTACATTATACTAATTAAGTGGGATACCTACACCGTACCAATTCACAGAAAAAATCCAACTTCATTGGCCAACAGACGGCATAACCAAGGACCCAGAGGGCTTTCATACATTTATCAAAAGCACTGCCAAACCATTTCCTGCAGCGAATAACGCCTTGGCTAAATACGTCTAAATAAAGAAGAAAACTGCCTTAATTTGGTCACAGAATGAAATCGAAAACGCTTCCTAAACATCAAATAACAAAAAACCGATGGCATATTTTCTAATTATAATAAATTCAGGGTGCTACTACAATACGTCGATGAATAACTGAGTAGAATAATGTGTTTATAGCAACGTTAAAATCCCATTGGTAAAGGACATATAGTTTAATATTTGTCCTATCCTCAACAGCTTTATTAGATCAAACCTACACATCACCTTAGCAAGATTCTGGCTAAATTTCAGAATGCTTTTCAAACACTTTAAAATGGAAAACGCTAACTCACGGGTGGTAGGAGACGTAAACCACTCCCACTTCTACCGTTTTTAGTGTTTTGTGTATGATCATCCAACGTACGCGAAGCTGGGTTTCTCTACCTTTCTGCTATGATGCAGGCCAAACGCTTCTACTTTTATACAGAAAGATACGATAAAAACAAATTGGGCATCTGTCCCGCCCACCAACGTCGGTTATACGTTACAATAGCCGCCCGTGATTTTGAGGTAACTAACTTAACTCAGCAGTCGAGTATCGACCCCTTCTTCGTCCTGATGCTAGCTAAAACTTGATTATATTCTTCCTGTAATCTTATTATATATGTACTTTAATACTCAATATGTATATTGATAATTATATGTTTATATCATTTATGTATCTTGCTTTTGAGAAGCCGATTTATATAAGCCTTTGGCTTGTCTCGGTATCCTGTAAATAAAATATTGTTTTTAAAAAAAGCACACTGAAGTGTTGTAAATAGTATAGTGCTAAAATTGGATTAGATGAATGACTATTTATCAAATGAAACATATTATTTAAATTATATGTATAAGGCATAATCAAACATTCACCTTCACATCTGTAATCTAGTTTCTTTTCCCACTTTCTTTCAGTTTTCACATCTTCTGTTTGACCAGGATCGTGCCGATATCTTTCCTCTATTTTCCCCACTCTATTTGCGTTTTTTTTCGAAACCTTGTCGGCATTTTCCGTATCTTTTTTAAGATGATCTATTTCTTCTTGATCTTCAACCTATTATTTGATATATATTTTTAGAATAAGGACCAATTTATACAGCAACCGACTGTATCACTGAAATCGATTTGATGTTAATTATTTCCTGGATTGAGGAAAAAGTCTTTAATATACCATGCCTTGGGTGCTGTATGACTGCAATTTTCATATTTGTTATCAAGGGGTAGAGTATATACTTAACCAATGTAATGTAGATACGATCTTGCAGTTAAAGATAAATTTGGATGGTGTGTGTAGATTTTAATTAAAGGGATATATCGGTATAGGAGGGTGATATATCGATCAGTATTTGTATAGTCATTATAAGGCGTGATGAGCTTTTTATAACAATATCCGGGTTACTTATCAACTTTGTTAATAGGAGATTAAGAATCTTAACAAGTGATCAATAGTACTGTTCTCATTATAAACAATTCACGATGAGACGTACTCATATAGTCGTTTCACACATGTTAATTTCCTACTTCATGTTGGAGATTAAGTAGAGGTTGATAGAACTCAAGAATAGGGTCAGGGTTCCATTACAGATTGCCTGATAGATGAATTTTTGATTTAGATTATCAGGTGTGGTAGATTTTGAATAGTTTATGTGTCTCAGATTGGCTCGGTACCTTTCTTATTTTCAGTTGCAAAATCAAAGGCCTCTTGTGAATATAGGTTAACCGAATTGATATACTGAGGTTTCACTTAAGTTCCGTGCGCAAGGAACCGTGCCAAACCGGGTAATTAGTTAAACCACGATAAGGATAGTCTGCCCTTAATTTTCTAAGTACTCAAATATTGAATATCAAATTTAAGTAACTTACCTCTTTTCTGATTGGATTATATGCTTTAAAGAAACGCCCATGGATATATTTTGTCATGAATCCTCTTTTCTGAAATCATCATACACGCATTATAGGATATTTAAATTAAGGTAGTCCGTTTACTTTTAGATAAATTAATTGTTATAACGCCTATGCTTATAATGGTTTGTGAAAATATGGAATACTCAGGATTCATACTCTTATGGTCCTAATGCTTCACACCAAATTTGAAAAATAAAACTGTTAAATAATGTAGCCATTCCGGAAATCGCGCGCGTATCTATGTGTGGGGGTGGGTAGGGTACAATTACCGAGCGACGTTTCGATTATAGCGTCAGTAATCTTTATCAAGCAATGACGAAATTACGGAAAAGTTGAGCAATTATTTTTATTATTGTATGTAAAGACGCCTAGTCGAAATATCGCCCAGTAATAAGCAGTACTTGTATTTAATAGAATTATGACCTGTGAATTTCCAGTTCAAAAGCAATCGCCAGAAATCTGAGGAAAATCCGTTAAAAACTGTGTAGTCTATTTCGCGTTCACAGGGTTTCGGAAAACGAGGGTGTGGGTGGAGGTGGAAGGAATGGAAGGTCAAGGTCAAGCAGAGTGTGTCTCAAATAAAATTATTGAAGGAGTTTATAAATTTGTACCTCATAAAGATGTTGTTATAAGACCACGTGACGTTCCTTGGATGAACGGTTACCTGAGACGTATAATACGCAAACGTAATAGAATTCATAACAGTGCCAAAGTCCATAATTGTCCTGATACATGGAAATTATTTCGTGAATACAGAAATTTTGTCATATCTGAAGTGAGAAAAAGTAAAAAGGAATACTACGATAACATTGATAATAAAATTAACTCTGATAGATTTGATAAACGGGCTTGGTGGACACTTATTAAAAGTCATGCTTTTCATACCGGCAAATCCTCCACGGAAATCCCTTCCCTGAAAGTCAATGATATACTATCTTATGGTGATTGTGAAAAAACTAATATTTTAAACGATTATTTTTCGAGTCAATCTCATCTTGAGAATGCTAACGATGAGCCACCGGAACTTTATGTTAATCCGATTGAAATTGAGCAGCCAGTTTACACAACGGCTAAGGTACGCGATCAGCTGATCTCACTATCGACAAATAAAGCCAGTGGACCTGACAGAATTAACAACATTATTTTGAAAAATTGTGCTACGTCATTAAGCCAGCCCCTTTCTGCATTGTTTAATTTCCTACACAATACAACAGTATTTCCGAATATATGGAAACAGGCTATCGTTGTTCCAATCTTTAAACAAGGGGATACTCACGATCCCGCGAATTATAGACCTATACCATTATTAAGTTTACTTGGAAAAGTCTTTGAAAGACTAATTTACAAAGATATACAAAATTTTCTATTAACCAATCATTTATTAAGCCCTCTGCAATCGGGATTCAGAATAAATGACTGTACTATTTATCAATTAATTGACATATATGATTATATTTCGTCGGCTCTCGATAACGGTAAAGAAGTAAAAGCCATATTTTGTGATATTAGTAAAGCGTTCGACCGTGTGTGGCATAAGGGTCTGATTCACAAACTGAGTTGCATCGGTATCCGAGGTAAACTTTTAACTCTTATATCAGATTATTTGACGAATAGAAAACAATCAGTAGTTATTAAAGGTGAAAGCTCTAATTTAAATAATATAACCACAGGTGTTCCCCAAGGATCAGTAGTGGGTCCACTTCTTTTCCTTATATATATCAATGACATTACTGAAAATATCAATTCTAATATACGTTTATTTGCAGACGATACGTCGTTGTATCTAACTATTGAAAACCCAGGCGAATGTGAAAATGTAATGAATTTAGATCTGAATTTGATTAACAGCTGGTCGACTAAATGGAAAGTAAGATTTAACCCCCTAAAAACAGTTTCCATGACATTCTCTAGAAAACAATTCCAAACCTCTTTTGAATTAAATTTTAACAATGTAAGAATTAAGGAATCGATATACCACAAACACCTTGGTCTTATTTTACAAAGTAATTGTCAGTGGGATAACCATATTGAATATGTAATATCTAAAGTCAAACGCTCTATTGACTGTCTCCGTGGCTTAAAATATCGTATTTCTCGTAAGTCTTTAGAGATTATTTACAATACATTTATTTTGCCCTTATTCGACTACGCTGACGTGGTTTGGGACAACTGTAACAAATTTGAGTCATTAAAATTAGAAAATCTCCATCTAGATGCATTGAGAACGAGGCACTTCCCATAATGTACTTTACTATGAATCCGGATATAACCCACTATCAACAAGACGTATAAGGCACAAGCTTATCCTTATGTATAAAATGGTTAATAAATTGGTTCCCCCTTTCTTAAGTCTTCTAGTACCACCTAAAATCTCCGAAGTAAATCCTTACCCTGTTCGTAATAACAATAAATTAAAAAATATATCTTCTAACACTAATTACTATAAAAACTCATTTTTACCTTCAACAATTGACCTTTGGAACAGCCTTTCTTACGATACGCAAAACGCCTCCACTATTCAAAATTTTAAAATTAAGATAAGTGTGAACGATCATAAAATACCTAAATATTATTACTATGGAGATCGTAAATTTCAGATTATACATTCCAGACTTCGTAATTGTAAAAGTGCTCTAAACTTCCATAGATTTTTAATGCATATTTCACAAAATCCGACATGCAGATGTGGACATACTCAAGAAGACAGCGACCATTACTTTTTGCACTGCCCAAATTATTTGTCTCAGCGTATATCAACATTAAATACCCTTCCATTTAAATCCATACATACAAAAGCGTTCCTATATGGCGATCCCAACGAAAGTAACTCGTACAACGAAATGATTTTTAGTAAAGTTCACAAGTATTTAAGACTAACCAAGCGTTTTGAATAGAATGGCAGGCGACGGCGATTAATGTTAAATAATGGTGATGATGGTGATGATGGTGATGGTGGTGATGATGACGATGATGATGACCTTGAAGATGATTTATTTATTTATATGTTTATTTATATTAATTTAATTATTTATATATTTATTTTTTTTTTATTTATAAAAATGTAAGATATAATACCTTTGAAATTTGTATATTTTAGTAATGTTATTGAATTTTACAATTTACATGGAGTTGAATTTATATAAGCTATGGCTTGTTTTCAGATCCACAATATGAGTATTGTAAATAATCATGAAATAATAGAAATAAAATATTGTTTAAACCAAGGAAATCTAAATATCGATATGACCCGTCCCTTGTTGTCCCAGTGGTTTATACCAAATTTGAAATAAGCACTTTACTGAATTGTAACCTCTATCCCATTCACATGTCGCCGAACCCTGAATATCGAATGGATCATCCCTCTCATGACCCCAGTGCTCAACGCCAAATCCGTTAAAATCTGTAGCCTCTGTCGCGATAACAAGCCAATTGCTGACGGACCGACGAACGAGTCATGGGTTGCGACATAATACGCGAAATGAGTGACGACATAATACGCCCTGGTTGAAATACGTACCTGTAAAAAGTAATAAAACAAAAGTGAATAATTGAGGGGAGGGGGGCATTAAAGAGAGAAAAAAATGGCTTTGGTAAGGGGAAAGGTAAAAGCAACCAATCTTTTGTTTCTTTCTCGTTTTATAATATTAAAATATATACAACTGTAAAGTCTAACAGCATCTTTAACATTTTTCTGAACATTTGATCCGACTTGATGGTTTCTCTAGGTTAAACTCGTTTTAACCAATCACAACAGCACAACAAGTTAAGTCAGAAGCAGGGCCCGCGGAAAAAATACTCAGCAAGCGGGTGGATCGGCGGGAGGGCGGGCTCGAAAGATTTTGAAAAATACATGGTCTCTAGCGTCATTTTGACATATTTCTGGGATAAGCGGAGTTCACTCTGCTAAAACACAGGACACTGAGTTTAACACAACAATATGACATACCAAAGGTCACCCCACTTCATGTTCCAAATCTTTAATTTTCCGTCATCTCAGTCAACCTGCTAGAGTCATATAACTTTGTAGTTTTACACAAGTTTGTGTGTACTAATGTAAAAACAAAAAACGTGACCATCAGACGCCAAAATATCAAAAAGAACAGTTTTTTCATGACATATACTGCCTCGGGGCCCCGATACACTGATGGTGACGAGAGCCTCAAGGGGAACGAGGACGGGTCGGTACGCGTGGGCCCGAGATGGCTTACAATTCACCAATTATTGCAAAAATGTGGACTGACAGAATATTAGACCGGGAGCCCAGGGGGTCAACCTAGCTGAAAAGTGTACCAATTTTCTCCTAGATGGTATCAATGTATGTATATCTGCCGGGTGTCTGGTGGTGGGTGTGCGTGTCTGTTAGGGGCAACCCAACGCACAAACTGTCTGACAGTGGTCATTCATGATTCCTGTGGTGGTACTGAACAACTCCAAAGCTGTTTTAGGTGGTACAGATTTGAGCTAATCTAGCCTTGCTTTGGTCTGGAAATTAGATAACTCTTGTCAGGGATACTCCATCACTACAAATGTCTGGCAATTACATAGCTCTGTCAGGGGTACCCCACCACTAGAAATGTCTGTCAGAGTGTTTTTGTAATACCTGAAGATGTACGATACATAATTGCTGTGCGATTTTCATGTGGTACACTTTTGAGCTAAACTAGACTAGTTGGGGGGCATGGCATTTTGGGCGTGGAATACCACACCCACCACCAGAAACCCGGCAGACTTACATTCTGATGATACCAGATATACATACATTGATACCATATAAGAGAAAATTGGTACACTTTTCAGCTAGGTTAACCCCCTGGGCTCCTGCTCTATATGTTTCTAATACCCATGTTTAGAAAAGTCACCGAATTTCTTCTACTTTACGATCAAGTATTTCTGTTATTACTTTATACCAACATTATTTATTAAAACATTAATCGGCAAACCTCCTTGACACTCTAGTCTCTGGGACCGTGGATAAGTGCCCCAGCTGCCCACCCCCTCTCACGGGCCCTGGTCAGAATTGAAACAAAACACTAACAAGGATGTTGTTTATCCATACTGCATTAAAAATAATTTAAATCCGAACGAAACAAGATCTAAATTTAATAAAATATTTGTTGTAGTAGGCTTACGGGAAGTATCATCTTACCTGTAATTCCTTTAACGAGTCACCTAAAGGCTTTAATCTTAATTCCCACTTCGAGGCTGTATGATTGGCTAATAATTCTGTAATACAACTTAAAGAACCTGTTACTTCTTGTGCATTATTCATCAGATTGGCTACTGGACCTAAAATCAAAATGTCAAACGCAAAAACTGTTTTTGAAAGTGGTTTCTTTTTAGAAATGGGAAACCTTTCAAATATTTGGACGTTTCTGTTTGAAATGGGGCAACAATACATGTTTAATTTCTTCAAACTGGCATCTACGGAGATACTTCAAAAGCAGATGTAAGCAGTCACTATCAACTGGGCAAAAACGTTCAAAGTTTTGAAATTGTGGTAAAACCCATTTTGTCCAGCACTTTTGTCTGATTACAAGACACCTTCAAAACAAGTTCTGCTGAAATTGGTCACGGATGGATCCTATTCTATAGTTTATTTTGAGATTAGGCCCTATTAAAATCGCCGATCGTCATTTGTATTTCTTGGACAATATATAATTATTCATGGCTTAATCCAGGTTAAAATGTTTTCAAACTGATTGTTCAACAAACATCTAATTAAGAAAACTAAACGAAAATATCAACGGTAGAAAATCTCTCGGATTGTATTAATTTGGATTAAATTGGGTTGAAAATTAAAAGAGAATCTGTCAAAGGATTTTACCGAACTCGTATAGGTGACGATGGCTTGTTTATATCGTTTGTAGAGCATGCCGAATGTTGTGAAATAATCATTTTATTATCTTTGTAAATACTGGACGGACTGATATACCATTTAACTTTTCACAATATTGTTGTTTGCCAGAAACTCAAAATTCCCGAGCAGAAGACGTTCAGTAGCGTTAAATGTTTAACTTTTTTTTTCTTTGTCTTTGACAATGAATTCAGTAGAATTTGCATAGAGTTTGAACGAATTTAATAATACATACCACCTATAAGATAAACAACGGCAAATGCAGCCACATAGGAACGACCACTTTTACCAAAGAAGATGGGGATTACAAGTGTGATAATACATCGAACCTGTGTACTGATGCCAAATCCAACAGCTAGAGATATGCCTAGAAGTGCTCCAACAACTCTTTTAGTGTCTTCTTGAAGACGAATTGGTACAATAACTGAGTAATAAAACACTATAAAAAAAGCATTAAAATCGGGTTAATATAAGTATTCTTTAAAAAAAAATCTTCGCTACAAAACCTCGTTAAAAGGCGTCACATAAACACAATGCTATTGGTTACTTAAATTGCTAAAATCTAGTATTGTGTCTTTGCACCTGTCTTGGAATTAGTGTTATTAAATTGCTCTTCGTATTCAAAATTGTCTGTATCGTGAGTTTAACCAAGAAGGGCGATTCCAGGTAAAAAGATAGAACTAAGGTAATTTGTTAATGTCGCGATCGAATACAGTTTTGATTGTAGGAACAATTTAAATTCTCTATTTTGTTTTATCATTTGTTAGTTGTTGTTTCACATGACTGTGTTTAGCCTTTAAATAGTGGCGGGTATCATACACAGGACAGTATATATGCTTATTATTTACAGAACACGTGGTACACTTTTCATTTGAAGAATTCGCAATTTATGTTATTATATTTGAGCAAAGCTTCAATTTAAAGGACCTAAAGCGCTAATATTTTGTGACCTAGAAATTGACGCAAATGGGTCTCAACGCATATAACAATGTAATATATTATGAATGTATATAAACTGTGATTACATTCAATCGTTTCTGTTTTTACTGTAATTTCTAATCAGTTATGTTCTGCGAAATACACCGGAAGTCTCAATCGAATGGCAATCTCTAGCGTCTGATTATTTCAGTCTACACCGATAGTATTCATTGCGTATGCTCTACAGATAAGAATATAGCGTCACCATTTGACATGACTTGTGGAATATGTCTATCTGCCTCGTTCTTCGAGTCCCTTGTTACAAATGGCGCCGAAACGCATTATGGTACACGATTCGTGTACCAATGGTAAAATGTGTATTTTGTCTTAAGTACTGGATATCAGAAGCCCATCTTTTCCCGGTAAGATCACAACGTCAATGTTGATTTACATTGACAAATAATTCGTGTTTTCAATGTCGAAGACTTTGGATGCCATTGCTTTAGAAACTTAGCTACTATAATATAATTAAGCTTATTAATATCATTACCTAAAGCAATGACACATCCTATTGGAAAACAGATCATAGATTTCATTGTTGTATATTCATCTGGGTCGGAACGAATTAGTTTCTGGATAAAACTATACTTTTCTGAAATTAAATTTATTAGAAAGATAAGGTTTACATGTAATAATTAATGAAACTTAAACAATACAAACCGATAATTACGAGCGAATCGCATTCAGTCAGTGGATTATAACTTATGTAATATTGACGGGAAGCTAAAGTGGGGTCGGTGGGGGCGAAGATTTTGAAAAATGGCAACATTGAACGTATGATCATTAAGATAGATAGAGCTGACCAGATACCGCCTATCGCCAAATCACCAGCTTAAAGATACATTATGGGAGATTTGGTAACGAGTTGGCAGTTCTCACTATAATAGTTAAAAACTAGATAATGTAAAGGTAATTTGCTGAAAATTTCATTCAAATTGATCCACTATGAACCGAGAACTAAGCGACTGAAATTTCCCCTAGCCTCGGTCATCATTACTAAAGTCAGTACAATAAACAGCATAGTCTCGATTATCCATTTAATCGTTAAATCGAGAAGGAATGTTATGCAGTAAATCGGCTCACAATCCACTAAAGGGCGATTCCATGTGTGTTGTACGGGACATTCACACCTTGTTTTATATAATTCTAGACAAAATTAATACTTATTCAATAATTAAGTTTTTGTATATTGACAGTTTATCCATGTATACTATTATTTTATTGGAGTTAATAAACAAAAAATGTTAGATGACTTCAGATTAAAGAATATGCTGTGTGTTGTACGGGACCAAAAAATGACATTGTTGTTCAGACATATTACTTGAAGTCAAAAGTCTGTGAAATATAAACATTTATTACAATAAAACCAGTATCTGTGATTAGATTAGATGGTAAGGTAGTTATGGACACCTCTTAGTTTTTATCATGAACCTAATTTTCTGTGATAATAAAAAAAAGGACGTACCAATTATTGTGTTGTACGGACAACAACAATATGTTGTACGGACACTTATGAATTTATAACACAAAAACGCATTTAAAACATTAGTAATAATTTATTTCAATAACATTTAACCCATGTTTGAAAGAAAATCAACAAGGATTATTAATTCAACATTTTACAATAATAGTTTACAAATTACTGGTTATATATGCGAATTTAACAATAAGTTTTAAAAAAAATATATAAACTAAACTAAATGATTAATTAAATAGTGTAAAAGTACATGTATGACACCAGATAACAACAGTTAATTATGAGAAGTATGTACCAGTTACTTAGATTTGAAATCGGAACATTAACGATACATTATTCAAGAGCTACATTTGCCCATTTTACAGGTCTTTATATAGGCCTTAAATGTTATATACCGTACAGTATTAATTAGACATTAACATGACAAGATCATAATCAACTCTTGATGCCATTGGATACTCAAGATTTTAACTAGACTAGAACGATTCGACCATTTAATGATTTAATTTAAAAATGGAAAAGCAAGGCCAAGAGACTCAAATATATCTGTAAATATCATGGTTACGATAATAAACAATCGATGCACACATCTTGTCAAAACTACAAACAGTGATAACTTGGCTCAGAATAAAGTAATTTGAATGAAATTTTCAATATTTTAATTTTGTATTATCTACTTTTGAAGAATAAAGCAAGAACAGACTGCTCTTTATCGAAATCTTAGATAATGTATTTTTAAGTTTAATGAAAGTCTGGAAATTCGGAAAGGATTCCAGATCCTGAAGTGACATTGACAAGGATTGGTGGACCGGTAATCTTCTTTAGAATGGATGTGGGTTTGTAAAAAATCTTATCAACAGTTAAAGGCCACTTAAAATACTGTCCTTCCCTATGCATAACAGATACCTCAACATCCTCTCCCCTCCTATCTGTCACTTCTCTGGGATTGTTATCTCCACCATAAGTTACAAGAGAGAGAAATGGGGTTTAACGTCCACTCGACACAAACTAGGCCATTTCGGGACTAACATATGGTTTAATTTTATTTCAATAATTCGCTTACGCATAGGGGTCTTTAGCAGTGGGAGGAAACCGGAGGACCCGGAGAAAACCCACGAGGTTGGACAGGCGACCCTACTCCTTGTCACGTACAACCGGCATAAGTTACAACACACCAATCACCAATTGATATTCTACCATCACAATCTTCTTCGTTCTTTTCATGATTTAGTTTTATAAATGGTACGGTAGAAAGACATTTGTCATAAATGCTGATTTCACCATTGACGTTGCAGTATGCTACATGTGATTTCTTAATTCCAGGAACTGGCATTGTTTCTTCCCAATGGGTCTTTTTGAATTATTTTCTTTCTATATTTCATGCATCTCTCAGCATTAGTTTTTTTTAATGCTAATAGTGCCTGTACATTGGCATTCATCATCATGACGGTCTACATCCATACCGGTACTCAGATTTGGTTGTTTCTAAAAATAGATAAATTTTTATACTACATGTATATTATAAATAAGGATTAACTTAATTCTATACATTTAACTTTTATGCTAGCCGCAATTTAATTATGAGATTCAGCTTCAATCAATTCACCAAGACAGAAACGGACTGAGGGTTGGGGGCCCCTGAACCTCGTCACTTGATCAGACCCCAACATGCCCCCCCCCCCCGACCTCAACCCCACACCACCTCGAGTAGATAAAGTTTTGAAATATAGACTAGACTGTAAAATGGTGCTTTCTAGAATGTAGATGTAGAATACATGAAAATTTTATTATGAAATTGAATGGGTTAAAAATTCATTATGATTCACAACAATTCTGGGAATCACATCTTTGTGATTCAGCTTTAAATTCTACATGTTGGCAGTCAAAGTGCCAATCATGTAACAATGGAATTTTATTGAAGACAAGTCTTGAGCTCAATCAAAAGGTCACCTGGAAAGAATGGATCGTTGATAAAGAATCAAAAAAACTTATGTGTCTGTCTAACGAAGACACGGTTAGGAATTATTAATGGCCACGCAAAAAGATTTTAATGAAACTGTCATTCATATAAATATTAAAAGAATCCAGTCAAAACAGTTTCAAGAAGATCAAAATGATCCTAAACTACGCATTTTACAGGTTGATTTTGCCATGAATTATTCATGTGAATATCAAAATGAAACCCAGAGAGCCCTCTGGAGCGTCGTATTAGTGTTACACATTTTACTGCTGCCTCCATTAGGTAAAACAACCCCCCCCCCCCCCAAGAAAAAAAATATGTGAGAACATTATTAATTTCTTAATTAGGTAGGAGGCCCTGAGCTTACCATATCCATAGTGGCCATAGACTTCATCCCTGCAGCAAATTTATTCATCAAAACTCGCATAATAAGGCTATACCAGACCGTTATATGTTACTGCATATAATTCTATAAACTGAATATACAGGTACATGACTGTTATTTTTTATTATTAAATGATACTTACCATCTATTGTTGTAAATAATTCAAGAAGACCTTTTCTACAGCACAGATGATCGTCAAAATACCTCAGTTACTAGCTCCATCTATAGTACCAGAGTGATCTCCCTAGATAAGCCTTGGTAGAATCTTGTGTTGTACGGTCCCGTACAACACGAGATATGTTGTATGGGACAAACATTATAACGCAAATTTTGAGTATAATATGTAGAATTTTTTATTTCAAATTGATAGGAATTATTAGCATTATTATGAAGTTAGAAAGTTTCAATTACTTTAAAGTTATATTTTTATCTTCAGAGAAAAAAAAGAAATTATTGTTAAATAGTGTTGTACGGGACATTGACATCGGTTTTTTTAACATTGATATTTTTAATGAAAATAGACCTATTATTAAAAAACAGCTATTATTAGTTCCTAATGTAGTAGATTTATTGTCTTATAAATATTATTGATTTGATTAACTTATTTAAGGGCAATAAATAAAAAAAACTGCATTAAAAATCAACACAATAAAAAAACGTCATTAATTCAATAATTGGGTAATTGGTTATTTTATTCCCAAAATCTAAAAAAAATTTGAATGTTCAAAATTTATATACATATATAAAATATGGATATTGACGTATGTGAAAACAATAGCAACAATCATTTTTGATCCAGTTATTTGCTGTTAAAGGCTCAATACCACTCTTGTTGTAACTGAATAATATGTCCCAATCTTTATTCTGGTCAACAAATTGTACTATTTAGAATATTTCAATTAATTGATGATACAAATTTCATCTTAACACACCTTATTTAAAAATTTTAAAAAATTCAACATAATGGTTTGAAATGTCTAACGTAAACCTTTTCAAATGAAACTTCGATTTAAAAATATTTTCGAACCCTCTGGACAAGTAAAATAGGATGTAATGGATAATTTTCACAACAGGTAGGACACTTATATGGTGGCTGATTGGTATCATGTCGTAATGTCGTGATGTCGCCTTTCATAACGCGACAACCCGACAACCCGACATTTCTACCCGACATTACGACAACCCGACAACCCGACATTTTTACCCGACATCACGACATTTTTACCCGACATTACGACACTAAAAATGTCGTAATGTCGGGTAAAAATGTCGTGATGTCGGGTAAAAATGTCGTGGTGTCGGGTTGTCGGGGTGTCGTGATGTCGGGTTGTCGTGATGTCGGGTTGTCGCGTTATATCTTGACCATGTTGTACATCTCTATATTCGTTTAAAAAACAACTTAAAACACATTTATTTAATCAGGCTTTTAACTGACTCTGTATACAATCGTTAACATGTTCATAATCTTGTTGTTTATTTATGATTTTCCTAAGGCTAAGCAGAGATAAGCAATTTGATTGGTCGATGTTTTGGGACACAATAACCTTGATTCTAGCTAATTCTGAGTTTGATCATGAGAGAGAGAGAGAGAGAGAGGGAGAGAGAGAATTGAGGTTTAACGTCCACTCGACACAAACTAGGTCATTTCGGGACTAACATATGGTTCAATTTTATTTCAATAATTCGCTCGCGCGTAGGGGTCTTCAGCAGTCGGAGGAAACCGGGGGACCCGGGGAAAACCCACGAGGTTAGACAGACGACCCTACTCTTTGTCATGTACAAGTTTGGGCTGGAAACCACACCACTTGACTCAATGACAGACACACAGACAAGGGCGGCTTCATAATATGTTCACATTATGAAATGAAATGGGGTTTAACGTCCCACTGTTCTGCTCCGACTGGGCTAATGAAGACGGTTCACATTATGAATGTGGACGTATACAAATGGATACGAATGCAACTCAAACTGCACTGTGAGTGCCATAGGCGTACGTGGCCGAACTTGTTTGGGGGGCCAGCATATTTTCCCGACAAATATATTTCTTTAGAGTCCGGCTTCGCCCGCGAGCGCCGGAGGCGCTAAGCGTCCGACGGAGGGTCTGGGGGGGCCTCCCCCATAAAATTTTGAAAACCAGACGGCCGTAGACGCGATTTCCATGCATTTCGAATACTTTCTAGTAATTTGGAGTGGGTAGTAAATTATGTCAGTTGCAGCATAAAAACTGGTAAAAGTCATCTTTAAAATACAAGCTCTATTACTACGAAAACAAAGAACAAGTCGAACGATTTACTTTTGCCACATTTTTCATTTTATGAGACTTCACATTTTTTTATCAGGGAAGGCATAAACAGAGAGTTTATACTGCTTTTCAGATCACTTCTATCACTGGGCTCGTCCGGTGCATGGAGTTGGATGCCAGTATACAGGAACACAGTCAAGAACTGAGAAAGGCCATGTGTACGTGCTAGTTCTATTCAGATGGCGTGCGTGTTCATCATTGACTGGACTGCTTTCTTTCCGCTTCCATATTATTAAAAATATTCAAAACCCGACGCTTCCCGACAAACTGAGCATTCATTCCCGACAAGACCATAGCCTTCCCCGACAAGGCCATACCCCTACCCCCACCCCATTTTCAACAACTCCTCGGCTAATGACCGATCTCACAAGATCTCCCCCCCCCCCCCGCCTCGTACGCCTATGGTGAGTGTGAATCTACTTCCACTTGATCAACCATTCTCTTAATTGCCAGTTTTTTGTTATGAATATCATCGTGGCCGCTTATAACATTGATCATGAAAGTCGACAACCCGACATCACGACAACCCGACACCACGACATTTTTACCCGACATCACGACATTTTTAGTGTCGTAATGTCGGGTAAAAATGTCGTGATGTCGGGTTGTCGTGTTGTCGGGTAGAAATGTCGTGGAATTGCCCTAAAGATCGCAGGCTAGCGCTGTCATCTAGAGTTGATTATGGCCTGGATAGGTTAATTAACGTCTAATTAATAATTTAGATAAAATTTCAGGCCTAAAGAAAGAGCTGCAATGTGCAAAAAACAGATTTAGCTCTTGCATAATGTATGTTTTATCAGACCAGAGAGCCTACCCCAGACAATTTTGAAAAATAGCGTGCCGGAAATGCAGTCTGGAAGTATTTCACGCAGTGCTGAGATAGAGCTTACCAGTGAATTAATACCAGATACCGCCTGTCGCCAAATCACTAGCTTATCCGACCACAGCCGGCACAGGAAAGTGTCAAACGAACGGGAGAGAGAGAGAGAGAAATGGGGTTTAACGTCCACTCGACACAAACTAGGTCATTTCGGGACTAACATATGGTTTAATTTTATTTAATTAATTCGCTTGCGCGTAGGGGTCTTTAGCAGTGGGAGGAAACCGGAGGACCCGGAGAAAACCCACGAGGTTGGACTCAAACGAACGGAGTGAGTGAATCAAAGGGAATCACTGAATGACTTATGAGTGGTCATTAAAATTTAATGTGTAGTCTAGCCTTTGTGTGATAATATGCCATTGATAAGCCTAGTCCTACTCCTAACACCCTCGTGTTTGGCATTTAGGCCCTAGCGGCCTAGCCCACTGCAAAACCAAATGAAAAAAAGTATTATAGACTATACTATAGAGTAGGCCTACCGACCGGTAATTAATTCATTTGAACCCTGCGTTAAAATGCTATATATAGCCAGTTAAGGCCTAGTTAAGTTAATAATCATGATTCATAAGGCTATTTTGTTCCACATATTTAGCCTATAGGCTTAGGCCTACTACTAGTCATGGCCTAGTGTAGGCCTATCTATCATTATCAACGGCAATGGATGGGCATGGCCTGACCTACTTTTGCGGCTCAGTAGAAAACTGCTGCGACTGCTGCTACCTGAACCAGACGACGAACCAATGTTTACCGAGCAGCTACCGCTGCTACCACTGCTACTACTACTCATGATGTTCAAGGATTAATAATGATATTATAGACCTAGTCATCAATTATGCATTCTGCTTTCTGTTTGCAGTAGGCTAGGCTGGTACGGTTCGTGGTGCATGTTGGCAAAATGACGTCTGCATCGGGATTCATGACGTTATGATGAAAGTGACGTCACCGCCCACATAAAGTATTGATTACCGGTGCGCAGTTCGACTTGGTACACAAATTGGTTCGGTCCCTAGATATGCGACACTGTTGCCAGTAGGCCTACCACTGTAGAAACACATAGTATGCAAAGCAGTAGTCCTTTGGCCCTGGCAGAAAGAAATAAATATATTACATTTATACTTATATTATAACTCGGTTGTTAAAAAGCTCTTTTGGAAAATCACGAAGAAGACAAAATATTGAAAATCATAATGGTGGTCAAGTTGATTCAAATATTGTTTTATGAAAAAATAAGGCATGGTTTATATCAATACCAAAAGATATTGATTCTTGAATTTCAAAGTCTTCCGGGAAGGGGCGTAATACAATTGGGCGATATTCATTTGGATGGAAACATAGGGAAGTGTTTACCATCATAGCTAGGCCTACATTCAGAATAAATCAGCTCGGAACTTTATTCAGCCATGGAAAATCTTTCTTTTTTGTGCCGATTTCCAATCATTTGATCTGAGTTACGATTGTTGAATAATAATAATAATAAATGGAGAACGTTATTTAGTGCACATGGTAAAAGTATGACACAAACACAGCTAGAACCTTATATTTGATTAAAAAGTTCGGTTTTGATATACTTTTTAAAATCTTTAATAGAATTTGCGCTTTTGGTTTTGTTTGATATTGAATTCCATAACTTCGGAGCACCGACGGCGAAAAATCTATCACCGGAGTTGGTTTTACACATGGCCGAAATTTGTCTGTTCATGTCCAGATGAGAGTAAAAAAAACACCAAGATGTTTTACAGAATCTGTTGGTGTAATAGAGATATTACCAATCTGATAGTTTTCCTTTTTTAGATTTCAGTAGTTGCTGCC